AAAGCCTGGTTGTGAACAGTTGATACCTAGATCTCTACTTATTCATGGGAGCAAAAATGCCATAACTGTTGACTTATCCTGGTTCCGCCAACCCCAGGTTTGAGGAGTCGGTGCAAATGTACAAGACGTGTCTGAAGGAGAATTTGTCAGCTATTGGGTGTCGACTACAGGGTCTCACCCCTGCCATTAAGACACCGTCCTCTATTCCCTTAAGAGGCGGGTTTTATGCATGGTCTCTCATTCAATAACCATTCATTACCACCCCTACTGTGCTCAATAAACTCCTGCATTGTACTCGTGAAATATGACATGCATTTACATTGTTTTTTACCATATTAGTTTCTGGGGTCGGTTAATCCCACCAAATGACTGGTTTCTTGTACTTGCGGGTTTCTGTGATATAAACAGCGTTGAAATTAGATGTGATCATTAGAAATCTAGTCCCTTTTTTTCTCAACTTTGAGTCGCTAAGGCCTTCAATAGATGGAACACCCGAACCTGGCTTTGTTCTTGTGCCCTTCGAAATTGACGCATCATGAGGATGCATTCAAGTATTGATATTGGCACAGTATATCTGCGTCTTGGGCAAAATCTAAAGCGTTTTTGAATAAAAGTTAGTGGATATCGTTGAAAGACTTCCTTTGTATTATGTTCATCTTACGGATGTTATAGCCACCAAAATACTCAGTGAACGTGAGAATAAAGGCGAAACGGTAATGCACGGTGCTATACAGGGTTGGTTATATTGAAATAGACGTGACATATTTCAGAAGTACACCGTCCTTTATGCATGATGCTTGAAGCGTGCGCAGCTCTATGCCCACTGGCCTGACTGATGACCCTAAAGTGCCATTACACCTTCATGCTGAAATGTTTATGATTAACTTATGTTCCAGAAGGAGTCGTCTGCAAACCTGTTTATTTCAAGTCAATAATACAGATTCAGAATTCGTTGACTACAAGTGAACACATCCAATCTTAAGAAATGGCCAAGGCTTTGCTCGTTTTGAGTATTATAAAATACAGTCTTACTATTTAAGATCCCAACTTTGTTTTGCCACTTCTTCAAAAAAAGTTGCAACATTAACCTCCACCATGTCTCAGATGCGTTTGATTCAAAATTTAATTCAATCCAAGTGATGCATTGCAGTTTTATTGATGGAGAAGAGGAAATTTGCATGCTACTCCTTATAAATGCACCTTGGAGGAACAAAGTTCCTCAAAACCTAGAGTCTACTCTCCTTCATTGACACAGGCTAGCAGTGTCGATGGATAATAGAAAAGCGATGAGCAAAAATGAATGAGCGCCACACTTCGGCGATTTGTTTCCGCATTTGCTCATAAATAATTGCAATGTATTGTGCATTCTTATTAGGAGTGCAAATTTGCCTCGGTGAAAAGCATCCGACAGTGGGTCATTATCATTCTAATGGTACGCGAATCAAAATAACAAATCAAAATTGACAGAAAATGGTGATGCCTTAACCTACTTAGTGGGCTTTTACACCCCGTCTAGCCCGTTTTCCTTTCTCTAGTGCTTTTTAGTCTATCCCCGCAGGCCATCAGAATGTCCCCCTGCAGCCGGGTTGTTCGGCTCTTCTGCTTTTGCCTCTGGCCTGTCGAAGTTAGTGGGCACCACTATTTAGTGTCAGTGTCTGCCGATTTCTTTCATTTTAGCAGGCATTTAAACACCGACCTTCCAACACACACAGGAACAATTTCTGATGGCACTTGGGTCTTTGTGATGAAAACAAACAACATTTTCGTTAAAGTCAGTATCATCATTTCTTGCTGACTCCACTTCGATCAATAAGCCAGGATCACTAATGCCACTGTGGGAAAACTGAAGCTTAATGTGCCCTTTAAAATGACCTCACACGCCTTGCAATCTAACATCTGGGCGAATCCCAAAACTTTTTATTAAAATAATTCTTATATGGGCATAGAAGGCATGCTAACTAATATAGCAAATAGTTGTAAATTAGGCAGGGAGATAGAATTTGTAATGATGATCAAAGCTAAAGCACCACCAAAGCGTAAGGGAATTGCAATTGAAAATTTCGTAATTTTCTGATACCATCAAAAGTTGCGCACATATTGCTACTAATTATTTATGAGTAAAATAGCGTCAGGATTCGCAAAAGCATTGCCAAGTAAACCGTAATCCCAAAGCTGCAGAGGCCATATTTGTTACCTTTTAAGGTATACCTCGACTGATAGTTAGAAAGCGCAGAGTTTGGCGCCTTGATTATTTAGGAGCATTGCTGTTTTCCTATTCCTATGTCTTTACAACTTCTACATTCATCAACACTGTTTTTTTCCATAAAACAATCAGCAAACACTTTAGCATGTATTTAGTAGATAAAACATGGCACCCAGAAATGGTGGTATAGATGTTTGTCTTCACACATAAACACTATGCGTATGTTAAAACTACCAATTAAGGTGTAACATAATTCTGATAATGCTGCATTTTACTCCTTTATTCAGTTTGCTTCTGGTATTGTGACTCTATGTATAAAAGATAACAAAAACGACGGACACAACAAATAAGTTTTAAGTTTTATAAGAAAATTCATGACCCAGATATTGTTAAACCTTATTGTATGACCCAATTTTAGTAAGGCGTTTTAATGATCTTAATAACTCTCAAGGAACTGCCCACACAAAGTCTCTCATAGAAATAGCTGGCGTTTGCTCGCAGTGGATACACTTCCGTGTACATGTTTTGGAGTGATTTGATATTTCTTAGACTATGTATTTAACAGCAAGGCTGGTGCTTTACTTCCGCAGCCTGGCTGGAGGACAATGCATGCAGCCTAATAAACCCTTCTCTTATGCTCGATAGCCTCAGAATGACTTGAGAAAAGGCTTTTAACCCTAAATTGGTAAAGCGACAGGCAACTTTCCTCACGTATTTGGCTAATTGCTAAACTTCATTGTCAATAAAGGACGTCATCTGCCGGGAATAGCTGAGTCCGGGGTGGCTCACAACAGGAGGGTAATCGGAGGCCATTACCAACCGAGGCGATGTCAGGCATGAGTGATTTAGAGACATCCGTCATGGAGCTGTATATGATCCTTATGCGAAGATAAATCGTTAGTAGCTGAACGGAACCATGAAATATGGTTGGTCACCATTGTAGCTAAAACAAAGCAATAGGAAATAAATGTAGAACATCAGTTCCACAAATTTTCTTACAAGTAGTTATTGACAGGTGAAATGTTCTCGTTGTAGGGCACCAAATTATCTTTAGGCAGCAAGACGCTAGGGACGGTTCACAAAGGTGGCCAAGCTGTGAAAACAATGGATCTGATAAAGTGCATTAATGGTTTTACGAGTAAATGACTCCTCGCCTCAATAAAAGTTTAGTGAATATATTTACTTACTCGTGAGTAGTTGGTTAAGCACCGGCGCGAATGTAGGACTAAGGGTGCTTCAAGGAAGACCGGGTAATTCAATGAATCTTTAACCTTTCATTAAAATTAGTAGGCTCTTCAATCGCTGTGATTTGGCCTTGGCTTTCAGACCTTTTATAAATAAAAAACAAACCATTCTTCCTCGTCATTATACCTTATTGCTGTTTCGGGGAAGGTTTGGAGAGTAATAGAATACCTCGTTTCACATGCACTTGCCCGAAACCAGTTCAGATGCATCCGGAGGCAGAGATATTTCTGCAAGTTTACACTCCTTATGAAAAAAACAAGTAAGCAAATGCAATATTTTACTTGCAAAAAATTTCTATTCAACATTATTTTGCAAACGTGCAAGCCGACGAGCCATTGCGAAGTTTAAGCACGTAAATATTCCTTAAAGCGTCATGCAAGATAGTAAAACAGAATGTTCTCAACGTGAAGTTTACTAGCACACGCATGTTTGTAAAAATTTGCCATTTGGTCCATTTGGAAATGTGCTATCTCTTCAAGTATGGTCTCGTTTGAAAAGGCTCTCTAAGGTAGTATTAAATCCATTTTATTATGGTAAAGACAGGAATGTAGTAAATTTGCACGGTTTGTCGAAAACCCCCGGAAATATGAGATTTTCATGAAGAAAAACTTATGTTTTGGCTACCTAAATTATGTTCCTACACCCAATATCTACTAAAAATGAGGTAAGAAACGAAATAATTAATAAAGGTCTTCATTTTGAACAGATGATGGTAAATATCCAATTGATATGATTTCATCAACTTGATTTGCAAAGTCGTGTCAAGCAAAATACATCCACACGCACCAAGAAACTGATGCACCCACTTCGGCTGAATACGCTATTGACCTAACAAAAACCTCGACAAGTCAGTACCTCCCAAGGTGAGATTAAAGTTCAAGTAAACGCCTTCTCGGTGTTCCACAACCCATAAGCCCCAAAAACCAAATTAGCGCACAATTTTACGCATCACTGCCCTCATGAGCTGTATCTAAATGCCATTGGGCGCTCGGAACCAGTCAACGAAGTGCCCCGTAACGCAAAACCCCTTCAGTCATGCTTTGTTGGGCATTACTACACCACAGCGAAGTACCAGCCTTCCCAGACAGCAAGGGTGTGAACTAATGCGCAGCATCTAAGCCTCGTTGCTCAGACGAAAGGAAGGCTATGAGTTATGCCTGATGAGTTGTGTGTTTTGAGTGTGTCGTGCACTGCAAAAGCGACACGTCAACGGTGACACACGCAGGATGCCGGAGTGAGGAGCGGCCCAGGAGGCAGGGTACGCGCGCTGGAGTTGGAGCACCCGGAGCGAGAGCATCCTCCCTCACACGTCCGCGTGCGCACCGCACGAGGCCCACCGATTGGGTGGTGGTAGTAACGCGTAAACATGTATTTTGTGCGCATATCACTGGAACAACGAGTTAGTGTAGAAGAACAAGCTGGCACGAGGGGTCGGTGAGGCTCATCTTCAAAGTGGAACATGTCGCCTCCCTACTCTCTCTCTGGGTGTGTGCATGTGATTCGGAGGGAAGCAATTGTTTAAATACAGCAAGAGACAGAAAGAAAATTTGGTTTAAGGCTCGGAAATCTCAAAGACGTCGTTCATTTTCTCCATCTCGTCCTTGATTTTCGCATTCTCCTCACGCTGTTTTGCAATTTGCTCTGAAAAAGTAAAAAAAAAATCAGCAAGGGTTACTTTCTGGGAAGACAGAATTAGTTTTAAAATATCTACTGTTGTGCGAAAAAGAAACCAACAGCGTGTGAGAACTGAACACAAGCCACTCTGGAAACTGCCAAGCCAATAAGAGCGGTGTCAACCCGCCAGTCAATAACTCCATCACAGTTATGCGGCATGAAATGCCATGCAGGTACGACAGTTCTACTCAATTTGCCAGGTGTCAGAAAACCTTGAAGCATCGAAGATTGTCGCATTAGCGATGATATTGAGTCCCCTTTATTTTTCAAGTAAGAACTCCTTACCTACGTCAACCTCGACTCATTGCCAAGTTGATGTAATATTTGCCGAGTTAATCTTAAAATGAAGCTATTCGCCGTTTTGCTGCAAATTAACTAATCAGACGCTTCAATGGGCGGTTTTTAGTGAGTTAGAGACAATATGCAAAATTACTATTTCATTGCTGCGATCTCATTGTCTCTGTGCCTTTACTAACTGATAACGTGGAAAACACTCAATTAAAAATCGTTTTAAACAATTCGCAATCACTAATAGGGTAACCAAATTGCTATCTTACTACGTCTTCAGGTACACACCTGAAGCCAACTGTTTCCACTTTATACTTTCATGGCAGAAGGCCTTGAAAAGATAAGTGCCAAACATAAACCGTTGAGCTTTCGTAAGATGACTAACACGTGTCATCAAAGACACTCTACTGCTGCAATGTGATGGACATCAGAGCAAGATAATTCTCAAATTACTCTACAGTCGAATTTATTGGAGGATATGCTGAGCATTTCGAACAAATTTAATACCCTCTTCTCCTTAAAACGGCGTAAACGGTACTCTCGGATCTTCGTGGCTCTAAATTTAGCCCATAAAACTAAGCTCTTGCTGCACACCTACCACCGCTTCATGCCGCCAAAATGAGCTAATGTATAACAGGGAAGTCACAACCAACTCTAAGAGACACTTACGCTTGAGATTTTCAATGGATTGCTCAAAAGCTGCTCCAAGGCGTTCAGAAGTCTCCGCGGTCCGAATGGCCTAAATGAGAGTAATAGCTGTTACTGCGAGTGCTGGTGCTAATTTGTAGGAGCTTGATGGGCATTCGATGGGTCGAAAATTGGCCGAAACACTCGATCGTCTGAGCTGTGGAGTTTGTGGTGTAAATAATCTTTTCTATTTAAAATATTTGTGACCCAATTTTTCTCTGAAATATTGCCTTCAAGTGATTGGACGGAGGCTCAACGCTTACTATGGTCGCTTCGTAGAAGTTGTGGGTCTGTACTTGTCTCATGTGGGCTTCATCAAATGCACAATTGACACACGGTGAGAAGCCTCCCTAGAACAACCTCCTGTGCAGAACCTTTGAACGTGTTCAAATGAAGACCAGACTCTGGCTCGAGAGTCATCATACCAGTGAGGATCGAATAGACAGCTTGATTTACCGGGCAAACGCCTCAATTCATACAAGTTTATAGGAGATCTGCTCTAAAGTAATGCAAAATCCTAGGCGACCCCTTTAAGTTTTTCTAGTACTGAAAGCTTTAAGTTTCGTGGACTTGTAAATAACTTCATGAGCACATCAAATGGCTTCCGACTGATCGCCTGGGTGATAATTAACTGGTCCGTGAAATTTTCTTGCACATTTGAAATAGATAAGCTAAACGAAAGTAGACGGACTTCACGCATATCGCGGTTAATTGCTTGGCACAACACTTGACGAAAGAACTGAGTAGAAAATCAAATTCTTCTCTTTTTCTCTTCAGTTACTATGCAAACTGTGCTGTTTTATGGCTTTCTGCAGTTAACCAAGCCTCGTTTATATTGGGGAGCACAAGCTGTGGCAGCTCCGTTTTTCATGTAAGCCTTAAAGTTCAAGGTCCGAAGAAATGCTTTTCCTCCTTGAGCACTTTATAGTGCACACTCATCAAAAACTAATTCCGGAGGAAACCGATTAAATGGAAATGATGGAAAAATCACAAAATGAACTGGGCTGATGGCACGTTATCGCGATGGATTAATAAGTAGCAGGAAAAGCTTCCTAATTCAAAGTGTATAATTTGGTAGAAACAACTCTTATCGCAACCACATTTAAATTCACAGATCGCGAATGCAAAAACATAGCAAATTACGCAACACGAGAATTTCTTGTGAATACAAATATTAGACAGCATAATGTCTGGGATACAAGTACATGCGTCTCCTCCTAAGGGTACGATGCAGCTTGGTTGTTTTGGCAATGGGATGTGAAAAAGGAAGTAGACTATGACAAGTTGGCATAATCTAAACGTACCTCATCTAGCCTTTTCTGCAATTCGGAGACTTTATCCATCAAATCAGTATCATCCTGTATCAACAAATAAATAGACTTCAGCGAAAAACTAACCAAGTTTCAGTCTTCAGCAAGACTGGTTAATCGATTTGGTGGTGAGGGAAAAGCGTTTTTGCTGTGCAATTAATGCGCAAAATATGGCCATTAAATTTAGGAGTGGGGAAAATAATATTGCACACCAAGAAGAGTTTAGCGTTATTATTAGCGTAGCAGTTGAATCACACACAGTGCCCCAAGGAAAAAGATACGACGCTCCTTTTGTTTCCGATAAAAACACGTGAGAAACTTTGTGACTCAAACACACATTTCCTGCTGTTTATGAGGCTGCATGCTTCCGAAATGGTGTTGCAGACACAATCGGCAAAACATATGTCATCAAAGGTAGATGTAGATGAAAATATAAAATGATGAATAATCATATTACCTCCTACCACAATTTAGGAGAATCTTCAATTGTCTTAGAATAGGCAAACCTATCCGAAATTCACATAAATTTTCGACCTACCCACGTAAGAAACAAATGTGTACAAGGGAAACTTCAAGGTCTTGTAGCAAAAGAAGGTCAGCAAACGCAAAATGATACTTTCATATTCTCTCACGTATCAGTTGAACCAAGCCCTAGCCGAAGAAGGAAATGGAGACAAGAGCGTCTGCCAGAAAGCAGTAACGACAACAGTGAGAGTAGAATGTGAACGCAAATTCGCACGCTTATTCGTACACTTAACTCCACGCGCCCCTGCGCCTACGGGTTTGCTGTGAGAACGCGAGTTCTGGACTGACCCTCATGCCCGGTGCATCGGAGTTTCAAACTCTTTCCCCAGCCAGTACTTCATAGCGGCAGCAATCGTTCTTTTAGCAAAAGAACGCAAATTCCTTGATGGGTGTTCTTTGCCAAACATAATTCTTATGGACAGTGGTAGATTTTCACTGTGCATGAAGCTTAAGCCGAAGTTAGTGCTGGGCGTCCATGATTGCTGTGCCATTCTCGGAAATTTTTATCACCACATGACTGATATCGAACTATTTATTAAAATAAAGTGACTTTTATGTGCATATTTTAAGTGCATTTCTCGTAGTTTCAGAAGACTCACATTGCCCCATTGCACCATGGATCGGCACACCTCATGTCATTCAAAATTTTATACTTTTGCGTAAATAACCACAGGAGTGCCAACTTGTGTAATGGTCAACAATGGAGAATGATTCATTTATAGCTACACTGGGTCTTAAATTACAAGTGCAGAAACTGTTCCCTGCTTCATAGCAATTTTCAGCCTCGTGCTGACATAAAAAGTCAGTAAGAAAAAAACAATGACAAATCTACAGAATCGAAACTTACATCTACTTTAGTTGAAAAGCATGTATAATAACCATTACGTCTTAACTGTTGAAGTGAACACCCATTCACCAAAAGGAAAACAATATCGTTGGAAAATTCACAAAACTCCTATCAATACATCACGCTAGATAAAACCGCAGCAAATTTATGAATCATTTGTCTCACCGAATGGGTCAAAGGGAAATTACTTAAAAACTAAAGAGAAATAAGGGTACAAATTTATTTGCTTGCAAAAGTACTTAAGCAGTTCTCCCCTCACTATCAACTACTTTCCGATAACAGGCACCAAACCAAATTCATCAAATTTAAGTATTACCTCGGAGTCATGAGTAATGATTTGAATAAGTGCCTTTTAATTACGACTAACAGAAGAGATTTCTTTAATTTTTGCAGCAGTCATGAAATACTGAATTCATATTAATCGTATGCCAAGGTGCGCAGGAGCATGGAGAGCAATGGAATTATCTAGACTATTATTATAGGACACGGAAGTGGAAGTTAATAATAGTCACACAAATTCCAAAGCAAAATGCAGCAGGCAGTGAGTGTGATGTTAGTGTGCAGTTTTCATTCGTGAGGATCCTATCCACTAACCTCAAAGTCTTTTGATTTTAGAATTTCAACCTGAGAGTTGGCGTCTTTAAAGCCCTCTTCCAAACGCATAGCCTCACTAGATAAACATGTAGTACTGTGCAGAAAAAAATGACTTACGCTTCTTTTAAAGCAGCACGCTTTTCCATCCTGTTGCGATTTTGTTCCATATGTACAAGGCGCTTTTTCAGTTCTTCGTACATCATATCATTCTTGTTGGCCTGTTCTTGAGCTTCCTTTAGCTCATCTAGCAATTTTTCATGCTTCTCATAAGCGTCTTTGCTTTTTGCCGTAAGACTTTCTGATGATCTTAAAACAAAATTAGATTCTAACGGTGGAGTCAGACTCACTCGTTAACACCAGAATAATGTGCCTCCAGTTTGTGGATTTCATCAAGCTTGGCCTTTTCCTGCTCTGCAGTCTTCTTGATTTTTTGTTGGAGTAAAGTTTCCTGATGCTGTAGCGAGAGTTTAGTTTGTTCTAGCTTTAAGGGCTAGTAAAAAAGTTTTGACAAACCTTATAATTTTCATCCTCTGCGTTCTTGATTTCGGCGTTCAACTCTTCTATTTGTGACTGCAAATTTTCCTGTTGAACCTTCAATTCGTTTATTACATTTCGCACAGTAGCCATTATTTTCAAAATTTATAGGACATCCAAATAACTATAGTGAAAATCGTCTTAGTTTAGCAAGAACAAGGAGATTCTTTACGGGAAAAATCCAAGTGCAAATGTAGTAAAGAAGAAAATAAGATGCAGACCACACATATTTTGTAGGTCCTTAAGAAAAACTAAATAACAGTTACCTAAAAAGCAAATTTCTTGATTACATTCGGACGCTCAAGCGAGAATGCCTAGTAAAATTTGAATTAGGCATTTGCAAAAAACCTATTAAAAACCTGCCAAAACAGATAAAAGAGTCAATGCCAAACTTAACTTAAAACCAAACACACAATAAAACACTTAAAAAGTGTAGTTAAAACGGTTACGTGATGTTATTCTGCAACCAAAGTATTTCCGAATTTTTTCAGATATTTTAGTTTGTCAGCGCTAGTTGTTGCATACAAAAAATTTTGGCTAGGAAAAAATACAAAGTCAACCAGAGGTTAAAAAACCCGACAGAAAGACAACGCCATATCGTAAAACACACCTCGAGTGTCACAAGCCCAAACAAAACAAAATTGAATAGCCGCGCAACTGGCGGCCTTTAGAATTAGACATATCAAACATAAAACCGAAAATAAAACTAATAGCTTTTTTGTAATCGTTGCTTAATTTTTTAGTAGCTTTATAGTTAAATACGCTTATTTACCTCAGATGCATTTTTAGGTATGTTTACCTTGAGCGTCTCTAGATCCGCATAATTCAAAGTAATTATGCTTGCTGGAATGCGCGAAAAATACTTACACAATGGTGCCTCTATTCCTTCGATTGGCCTTGGGACCTGGCAGGTGATTCGCATACTTATTTATCTACTAACAAGAATACTTCTACGCAGTTGTACATTTCAGAACACCATGCAAATGCATTTTGGCACGCTTGTTTGTGTGCTGCAATGAAAGACGTAGTTTAAATGTGTATTTACACTTTATCTAAAACCACGCTTACTTCTTTATTTATTTTGACTTTGGAAACTACTAATCACTGGTTTATGAGGTCAAAATGACAATAATTCGAACCAAAAGCGTATAGCTTTAATTAGAACTTATGTGTAGTATTCCCTAAGGACTGTTACAGGGATTATGTGGCAGTTTTACTGACTAAATATAGACTACATTTGACTTTAAGCGCTGGACTTTTCATTTCTTTTTACTTACACTTCAGATACTAATATGGAGAAAATCAATTTTATAACAAGTACTGCCTCTATGACAGTTGTTACAAGTATTTTGTATTCTAGGTCGGTAAAAATTAAGGTTTTCCTCGAATTTTTATTGTAATATTTTTATTGGGCCTATAATGAATAATGCTTAAACGTCTAGATTCCTATCAGCGGTGTTGTTCGTGCCGTTGATTCCGCTATCGACTGTGGTTATCGACACATCGATTGCGCTTTTGAGTGTGAAAATGAAGTCCATATCGGGGCTGCGCTGAAACGTCACTTTGAAGAAAAGGGTCTACGTCGTCAACAAATATTTATTACTTCAAAACTTTGGTCCACTTTCCACCAAAAAGATAGGGTTATTGAAAACTGTATAAGGTCCTTGCACGCACTCAATTTGGAATATCTGGATTTGTACCTAATAAACTGGCCAGTTTCATTAAAGGTAAACCTTGTATCTTTTTGTTTTTAGTTCTTTGGAAATTTCTGCAACTTGCGCTCTTTTTATAGCCCGGAATAGAAGTTTTTCCTTTACTTCCAAGCGGCGAGCCAGACTATGACAGTCCTAGACTAGAGGATACTTGGACTGTAAGTTACATCAACATTTTTATGAATGTTAATCATCCACTACATAAAAATATCGTAAAATTTGATTTTTTAAACCACATTTAAATTTCATTTTTTTTGCAACAGATTTTGTTTCTTTTAATGGCTTATTTAAAGGGGAAAGAGGAACAAACTCGTTGAAAATATATTGAGATACTACCAAAAGTTGGACTAAAACTCAGTAGGGTGAGTGATTAGAAACGTACGTATTTGTGCAAGATATACAATTAATCCTAAAATCATGTAGTCTAAAACAGTGGCAGGGATGGCTACGTAGTAAAAAGTTGCCTGCCGCTTAAAATGAGTCCATGTGCGCCTGCAGTCTTTTGGTGGTTTGTCCTTAATCGTGCAAATTTTTTGGCGGTGGTTTCTTCAAAAGTTGCGCCTTCCGTACTTAATGGATCTTTGCCTACAAATGACTTGAAAAATATAAAATGGCAGAAGAACTGCCATCAGACTGACTTCAGAAATTAAACTCAGCTTGGTTGATAAGCTGATGATGGTGTCATAGGTCCTTCAATCAGTCGTATTCACGAAGTGTTTTCCAGAACACAAAATAAGCATACCAGTAACAGGACGTAGATAATTAGCTTTGGCGATTATAACCTTATAAGCTTTCAAGCATTCAAGGCTAGTGTGCAATGGAATTACTTTAATAGTGTGAGCTGGACTGTGTGCACTCCTAAATTGCATCAAAGCGTTACCAAGATAACGACCTAAATTTATGAAGTCAGCCGATGATGGAAAACTCAAAGTACGTGTCCAGTTTTTTTGAAAGACCATTGGATTTTGTATATCGGGGACATTGGGAATTTTGGCAGTGAAAGCAGAACTATCATTGCCTGTTAGTACAACTGGTATGCCTTCACTACTGAATGCTTCTTATAATATACAATGAGTAAACTCAGCAATCAATGAATTTGCATGAAAATCTCCAGACTGGTTGAGACAAGGACCAATCACCTCAAGAGTGTAATGTCTACCCATTCATACTATGGATCACTGTAATCTTTATGAACACGATAGGTAACAAACTAAGCCACACTGGCAATTTAAAAGGAATTTTAACATGCATAACGTTTGCCATAATCCATCCCTGGCTACTAGCAGGTAAGTCTTGCCATTTTATCTTTTTGACACCAAGATGTAAAGACAGTGGACCCTCTAGATCAATATTCTTTTAAGTCAGTTGTGTAACTTGATGGTTATTTTAGCATAATACTCCATCAGGTACCACACATAGTCAATTGCGATAAATTGAAGCGCTGAAAATCGGCTTTGCTCATGGTGCTATTCCTCTTAAAGTAGAACGGAAATGATGAGTGCCAAGCAACCACGGATATCACACACAAGCTCATTTGGTTTGATTAAAGGCTGTCGCGTCGATGGCTAACATGGAGAACAGACCTTACACTGCAGTCTGTAATACCGTGGTTGTAAGAAGTGATTGCAGTACTCCAAAGTCACACCATAGCTGTGGATGACTTGACTAGTGAAGTCGCAAGTTAATGCGAAAGCTTCAATGGTTTGTTATTACCATTAAGCTTCCAAACCAGTGGGTGGCACATTAGTTGATGGGTTGGAATGTCTTCACAGAAGAAGACTCTAGCACTGCATTCGATCACAGCTGGCACAGCAAAGTGCAAAGTGCCTCTAAACAGAAGGCCAAGAAATGCTTTGACTAGCTAAAAAATTGAAAAAATAGCCAGCATGTTTAATAGAGGTAAGCATAAAATGGTGAAAGTATTTAGGAACATCAATAACCACTTATTGAAGGCGCGGTTAGTGGGGCCAGTAGCCTTTTGGGATGTGGTATGTAGCTATTCTCACCAATTAAAAAGAAACGATACGCACTTTTTTCGATTAATCACACCGATGAACTGTTGGGAGCGTGTGAGGTCGGTAAAGAAAATGGGTAGGTAAATTTTCATGCTGTGATGCTCTACGGTAAGGTATCTACTAGTGTTCCTTATTACTGAAGATGCGACACTGTGTTCGAGCAATAAAAAACAGTATCTATATCATCCGAGAGGTGTACTAATTGCAGTGAGATCGCTGGGTAATTTTTTTAGTGGTATTAAGAGATAGGCATTTTCCGACTGATCTTGGTCGTACACGCACGATTCAGAAATGGTGTGATCAAAATTAATTTATTACCCTCTCTTATTCCTGGTGGCATTCCACTGAAATCCATTAGGATGGCCATCGAAGTGGTCTAATTCAAAGAAACAGTGAAAATCAGAATCGCCTTACAATACAATTTGACAAGGCTCAAAGGTCATGGTAGGCTGTTCACGAATTCGGAGTACACAATCCCCCAGTTGTATGCTTTAATTCGCACGAGCTAGCGGCCGCCACTAGGAAACCATCAGCATACAGTAAACGCAAACCTTTAAGCCCTAGACGTGAGGGTCTGGAAATTGAAACAAAAAACTGGTGGTCAAGGTAGTTGATATCAACTAATTTAACTGGTATAGTACAGCAAAAAAGGAGGTCTAGAATGTTCTGTACTGCAGCAAATATTCAACGGTACCAGATAAAATGCTCTTAATTGGGATTTCGGAATAATTGACGCAGCACCTCAAGTATTAATGTGTACATCATAACTTTTAAGTTTTTATAAAGGTTTTACAGGAAGGTCAAAATCTGCCATTGATTTACATAATCGCTTGGAGGGGGTTTGTTTTCCACTGTTAAAGGGTTCCACCAAAAATGATTCCCCTCCGAATTGGAGGCGATAGCCAAGAAAACAGGGTTCGGGCAATATTTCCCCATGGGTGTCAATACACGGTTGGAAAGTCCAGTCTCGCCTTCACCTCTGAGTTTTTAATGTTAATAATTTAAAGAAAATACTATTAATGGCTTTCACACTTATTTTACATTTTCGTACTACTCGTGCGTGTTTCGCATAGTCTCGATTATTCAAACAAGATGGATGAGAAGCCTCTGTTGAGGAGTTGGTATATTGATGTCAGCAACAATTTTGTCTCATAATTAATTTTTTACATAAGGGCCACCACCACACTTGGCAGCTATGAAATGAATTTAGGAATAGCCTGGGAATCGGAGTAAACTGGCAAATTAGATTTGACTGTTTTGGCTGCCAGAAATTTAAATGAGCTGCAAAGCTGCAAAAGACGTTACTTAAGAACAGCAATAGGACGTGCCGATGGGGGCATAACTAGCAAAATGCAAGGAGTAAAGTCCTTTTCAATTGAAACTTTAAGGTAATTTAGGGCTTTCGGCTTGATAATCATGTTAATTGCTGAGAAATTGTAATTCCAATTAGTGGGGAGTAATAGAACCAGTTCATTGGGATAGTTACAAAACCACTGCACATGTTGAATTGAATTAAGACAAGCGGGAAGAAATGGGTTGTTACAGTCCATGGAACGGAACGGAAGTGGAAAGTATTACTGATTGTGCCCATCAAGCTTTACCTTAATGACAACTTTATAGTTAGTTTTAATTAATAAACTTTGAACATTTAAAGGCCATGGAGCAATTAGTGAGAAGTGGCCTAGTTCGCTCAATCGGACTTGCAAACTTCAACAAGAAGCAAATTTTGCGCATCCTCGAGTGCTGTGACATACCACCGGCTGTGTTGCAGGTGGAAAGCCACCCCTACTTCCTCAACGAGGAAATTATCAAATTCGCCCGTGGCTCAGGCATGCAGGTTACCGCCTACGCAGCCATAGGCTCTTCCTATCTTGAGGCGTGGGTAAAACTACTTTGGATAAGCATTTCTGCGTCATGCTCTGTCATTTGCAAATATTTCCTCATTCACGCTGTCAACGTCTAACAATTTGCGGTTTAGCGTCTATTGCATGTGTCTTTTTTCGAAAATGGCCATATCTAAGCCAAAGCTTTACATAAATTTAGCAAAGATAAGGGAGTTATGCATATTCTGGATGATCCCGTGGTGTCCGCGATTGCCAAGGTTCATGGCAAGACAGCTGCGCAGGTTCTCATTCGTTTCGCACTGCAAAGGAATCTCATAGTGATACCGAAAAGCTTTAATCCTGAGAGAATTAAGGAAAACATTGAGGTAGGTCCAGTTTCTCAGAAGACACTAAAATTATCTGCCTTTGTTAAAAAACTCCAGTAGTTTCCACCGCCATTTTCGTGAGATTTCTTGTGGTCTATTAATTTACATGAATTTTAAGTGATCTGCTGAATTGACCTAGCGGTCTGTCATGCTTTCAGTAACTCGACGTTGGTTCTTTTCTAGTTTCCTTCTGACCGGAAAATCTAAGAGCTAATTATCTAAAAAAATGGCCAACAATGTTGTATTTGCAAATCGACTTTCTTTTAGTGTTTTATATTATTTACACCCAGACCGATTCCGTCTGGCCTTTGGTTGTGAACAATGTCTACCCCAATCCTTCCAATGTAAGGTGGTAGTGTTCGCTCTAGGCAAATTATACTGGTTCTCAACAGACCCCACGTGCCACTCCGATGAGTCAATATAACTTCAAAATGTTGCTTTGCTTGAGGGTGTCTAAAGGAAAAAATTTTGCTTCAAATCAGACCCAGCAGTGTGCCAAACTATCATTACTTGATAAACGGCAGCTTAACTACAAAGTAACCGCATTCTCAACGACACTGTGACTTCACCTTCATATATCGCAAACTTCTACGTGCACGCATTAACCAAGTGCAATTCCCCACTTTGGTAAAATACTACTCATGACGTTTCACTATATAGTGTATGCTAACATTTTCGGCCTCATTTCGGTCGGAATTTGAGCTTGCTCACTTTCATCTCGCCAATCGCTCATTAACATTCGCACTGTTTGTTACAACTCCTGAAGGTGTTTGACTTTGAACTCTCATTCGATGAAATGGAGCGCCTCTACGCCCTCAACAGGGACGAACGAATAATCGACCCAGTGAGGTAGGTGTAGACCTATTTCCACGGCTTGATGCCCTTTCAGGATGCGTAATCACCCTGAATACCCATTCAAGGATGAATGCCTCCACGCCTGATATAATTCAAGCACTCGCAATTAACAAATTTGGCTCTGTGTTAGGGTCACAGGCTTCAAAATAAGCCCTGTTTTTGCTAATGCCTCTTTCCGACAGAATAGACTTGATAAGTGGGGATTTCCTTCTGGGTTGAGAATGGTGGAAATGGTAAATTGACATCAATGGAATTTTAGTGCAAAAGTATAGGTTTTTTGCGAAAAACATCTGAAATGTACAGAAGAAGTCATTGTGTAAGAGATGGGACTAGTCGTTGCCGATTCGAAGGAGCGTTATTATACTGACTCCACACGAGGTTCCGATCGTGTCAGAACTGCGACGGAGATGTAAATTACCAGAAGGCGCACCTAGATATCAAATAAGCGTTAGTTGACAAAAGTGATAAAATACCAGTGGAAGTGATGGCACTTGACTCAAAAACTTAGCATGTTCAACAGCGATCGATGAAGAAGGATAAAGGCCCGGAGATTTTGAACTTACCAACCAATATACATTTGGCTTATGTTTCTGACAGACGTCGCCTCACGAATGAGATCGTCAACTTGCAGTGGGACACTCGTTTGTGCACCGTTCTCATTGCCATCCAGCTTTCGACGTATTCTGCTCAGCACATCTCTGGCCCTCGTGTTACCCATTCCGCCAGCTGTGTGGCAGAAAACTTACTACAAGTATGCATCCATTACTCAGATCATCATACAAAAGTAAAGAAACTCACTTTGCATTTCATCGTGATACTCGCTTTCTGAGGGCGGCTTGGCGGAAAAGATGAAGTTCTGCATTCCCACACGTTCGCAAACGATTGCACCCGACTCAGTTTGACGGCGCATTGCTTTGGCTACAATAATATTTTGCTAGAATAAGACCTCGTATTTCGTTTCCAATCCCATTTTCAATCCTCAGCAAAAATAAACCAAAAGAGCATCAAGCAAAAAAAATAATCTGCCAGTTTAAACTCGATCAACGTGACGACAGAACGAGAAGAAGGGGAGAGGAGGTGGATTACCGGTCTCATAGCAACCGAGCCAGGGTCCGTTGCAGAGGTGGTGTCGCCAGGGATTGATGTGTCGGCAGTCGCGCAAGGAAAGGCTGCTGGGATAGTTTGGATCCGTGAAAACGTAAGGAATGTTTCGCGAGTGCGCCGAAATGTTTTGCGATTGCTGCGATACCCGTGTCTGTGGATACCGAGCACCACCACCAACCCCAGCCCCCAGCGGCACCTTTGTGTGAGGTTCACCCTCACCGTCCATCTGAATAACATTGGAGATTTGCATATCAGTGACACCTTACACATCCACGGGAGGTAAATGATTTCGTAACACTATTTTCCTCAATTGAAAAAGTGAACCAAACGGTTGCTGATTATCCGGGGGAGGCTACTTTTTTAGAGCAGCGATGAAGGCAAAAAGCCAGATTGATTCTTATGCTAGGAGAGAACTCCCTAAACGAGAACTTTTCAACTGAACACCACATCTCAAACCAGATACAAAATACTGTTGATTTTACCGAACAGAGAATCCGCAATCCCTCTTGCGGTCCGCAAAATTGCAATCAATTGATTTCGGAATTTCAGTTTGCATCTCCTATTAAATCTATGCACTCCGACAGCATCGCAGTTCATCACTCTTACTAACTAAAAAAGCTTGATGAATCCTACCGTTTGTTGCTGCTGCTGTTGTGTGGGTAAGCCTCGAAGAGCCTGCTGCGCTGGAGCCGTTGAATTGGCGGAAAGCGGAGGAGCAGGTGGCGGCGGCACACCCTGATTGTTGACGCCGACACCACCACCGGCAGCCGGACCCAGAACGGGCCGCTTATTCTCAAGCAGCACCCACTGCAACAGGGGATCGTGAATGAAGGCCTCTAGCACGGCAAGCAGGCTGTCTCGGTTGCTGCGCATCAGTTGCATCATCGTCTCGCAGGTGTGCCGGTACACACCATCGATGCCTGTCACCTCCATTGCCGTGATTAGCATACGCGTCAAGCGGAAGGGCACCTTCTCGGGATACTTCTCGCGCATCATGGCCACCTCAAAGCAGTCGCCGAAGTCTATGTGCACTATCTTCCCCGTCTCGCGGCACAGCATCAAGTTCGATGGGTGTCTACAAAAATATCAAGGCGTTAACCAGTAGTATTCTGCTTTTGAAGTGCAGAATCATATACCATGGATGGTGTATTTCCTACTTCACAGCTCTGAAGTGATTTGGGTTATGTCTCAGACAAAATTTTAACAGACAACTAGGAGATGTTCGTTTGTTCGTATGTTGAAGCACCGGTTTTTTCGGATCAATTAAGGCTATGGTTTAAAAAAAGGCAGATTTGAAAAGAAAGCCTCAATACGAAAGCATCAATAACTCCCTTTTTAAGAAATATATTGGTACTCACCGATCACCCAGACCTAAGATGTAGCCAACCATAGACATGACTGCAATGGAACGAATGAACGTTGTTCGGCGCTCGAACCACACCTAAAATGAGGGTAATTTAGATACACAGTCAGCATCAAACATGGAGGAAAATATCAAACCTCAGAGTTGTGACTTTTGAGCCAGAGGATATTAGCCAGGTCCCTGCCCGAAGAGACCCGAAGACCGGCCTCAAAGACCTCCGTCTTTTGACTCAGGTTGAGACGATCAAAATCGGGTGCTAAATGGAGCATTTCTCGATGCTCCTGATTCAACGTGATGTCCGTCTTATCACGATATTCGCGAATCAGACTGTGCAGCGTATCACTGTTAGGCACCCAGCCGATGAGACCAGTGTTGGTCGACAGCGGAATTATAGAAAATCGCTGAATGCTGCAAGAAAATAGACATTATAAAACCGTCTTTAAGTAGAAAAATAAGTCACGATGCCATTCAGCGTCATGTACTTTTATTCCATAATTCTGGGAAGCACCTGAACTTTTGAAAGTCATAGAGAAAATGAAATCTTGCAGCTTCAATACGAATCAGCTTACGTAAGATTACGGCGCAGTGTTTCGGGATTAATCATCAGAAGCGTGTTTATGAGACCGAAGAATTGCATCACACGTTCATCTTGTCGTGTGTCTTCGTGACCTTTCAGCAGGAAGACATATGTCTTGCCATTGGATCCTGTAAGAAGAGTTAATAATTCCGATGGTCAAGCAATCCCCTATTCAATGGGATTAAGCATTTGTCATTCGTACAGCTGGAAATGTTGTGGGGTCACAGAGTGAAGAGGCGCATATGATAAAACTTCTATGCAAACGAGAAGGTGGGAATCGGAGAACAAACGCACAGAACTTACCAAGCATGGTGCACTTCCGCGGATGCTGCTTGGAGGTCATTACCATGAGGCAGTTTTTAACTCCGGCCAGACGCACCAGTGGCAAGTGTGGCTTGTAGGTGCCGGGCACCGCCAGCATCCAGTCCTTTCCGTAGGCATGCAACCGCGGCGCCGCGCAGGTCAGGTCCAACGAGGACAGGTTTGAGACCCGTTTTGAAAGCTAAATGATTTCAAAAGTAGTAAAAAGGGTGGAATGACTGCCCGATGAATATAAGGCACCTCCTTTACTCAGTCCATCAGGCGCGAAATACATGAAGTTATTGTCATATCAGAGTCGTATGAGTATCTCACCTTGCTTCTTTCGTAAGGGCTCAAACGTAATTCGCCTAGCGAGCATAAACACCATGCCTCTTCCCCTCTCTCGTCTTTAAATGACACAAGTCATTTTCAGTGCTGGAGACATTGAAAAACTGAACGGTAGAAATCTGCGACCGCTCAAAGATGTGACTATTTCTCAGAGGATCAATTTCTGGTACGAATCCCTCCGTTATAGTATACTGTGAATAATAATTTTATCAGCTGCCATGTTTTGTTTGCAAACCTTTGCGTAGACGACGAGCGCATTACGCTATCACAATTAAATATTTCTGTTTTTGTAGTACCTTTAAATCATACAAGGTTTCGTTTCGACTTTACCGTTCGATAGAGCGTATAGTAACCCTCCCAGGCCTGTTGGAGATCTGCCCGCATGCCTTGATTTTCGAAGCGTTCACAGTAGATACGCGAGTTGTTGAGCTCCTTGCCAAACTCCTGAAGGAAGGCGGCCTCGTTGGCAGTCTCATGGCCGCGCTCCATGACCTGATGGAGGGGGTAGAGCAGTCGAAACATCTTCCCCGTGTCCTTTTCCCCAAAGTATACTCTGCTGGCATCCTCTAGGCACTCGAACCACATCTCCATCCATGACACCGAGAGACGTATTAACTCCTCGTTCAACTGCAAGGTGGGGAGAGGAAGAGGTGATACCTAGAAGTTTGATCAAGAAGAGCTAAAATGCTGCCCCGAACAGTTTGCTCACTAAGAAGGCCTCGTAGACTAAACGTGGGCTGTGCTCCTCCATAAAGTAGAGAATCTTGGTAGCGTAGTAGCGACGCCTGTCGGAGCCGCCCGACTTGAAGGAGAGCACCAGGGAGTAGATGAGGGCCTGTGGGAATTGCCTACCCACTGCAATCAATAGATCCACTATGATGTTGGCCACGTGCTCGTGTGGCGTGTCAATCCGAGCCAATAGTTGCTGCAGCACTGGTAGCCAGTTCTGTAGACGGATCTTGCCCAAGCCCTCCCGCGCTATCTCACGAATCTCCGGAAGGTGGCCGAATTGGAACAGCAAGTTGATCAGACGAAGGATATCCTACATATGAATTGAAACGAAACGTCTATTTTATTCTACTATGAGTTGATTGTTGTATTACACATTCATTTTACTACGCCATAAAATTTGTTTCCCCCTCTCAGCAATCAGAGCTAGCCAACGTTAATAAGATGTGTTATAGACTCACGCAGATGCTTTCAGGAGTGACATCGGAACCCTGAAATAATATTTACCGCAAGCTTCATAAATTTTCTACTGACTCCCGATTTCTATATTCTAAGTTAGGGACATATTAAGCTAAAATCTAGCTAACTTACTGGTTCTGTGCCTTGCATACCATCAAAACGGAAGGGCAATAAGATGGCTGCAACTTGCCTGGAGGTTGCTGTCAGAAGAAATGCTGATGGAGTTAATGTAGCCTCGTACTGATGGAGCAGCCAGTTGCTCAATGCTCCTTTGAAGAATGCTCCGACGCTGACCCAGACCGGCCAAACTTTGTTTGAGGGTGGTGTGATCAAGAGAGCTCTCTGAAGAAATTATCTTAATAAAAAAAGAGGATAAATGCTTCAAGATCTGGAAATATCTTCCAGTAGAACCAGCTGTAGACGATGACCTATCGTGAACAAGTTACACCTTAATGAAATGAAGGTAAGTTCCCAGTGGGAGAGTACCTGTTTAATTTGGATCTCCTTCTGATCGAGTTGGGCCTGCTCGATACCGAGGCGAGTGGAGAGGTCGTAGTTGGCCATGGCCCAGGCCTGCCATGCGGAGCGGTTGCCGGGGCTGTGTTCAGTGGCGGTGCGGTAGCACTTGATGACAAATTTGTGCATCATCACCGACTTATCGTCCATAAAGTGCGCATTCCCTCCCAGACCCACTACGCCATATTGGGCGGCAGTATCGGAGGTACCCTAGCGTTGATGATGCAGAATCAATTGTATTTTTGCTGCATAATTTCATGGACACAATTTACTGTCTCATGTTTGTTTATAGGAAATAAAATAAGGCAAGATTGCCAAAAATGTGGAATTTGATATTCAAAATTACCCAAAAGTACCATATCACTAGAATGAAAAGCGGATTATTAAATATTCAAAAGTTTATTTAATGTGTCATGTGAATCTAGGTTAACACTTCATGTGTGTACTTACATTCGCGAACCGCTTATGACTGAATTATGGGAGAAGGCCGCTTAGCCCCTAACTTACGAACGACTTACAAGTGAAGATTTGGAGGCATGGCAATACCCATTAAAGTAGATTTTTTGCTGTCATGAAAATTAGTAACAATACTCCGGGATAAAAGGAATATCATAACCACCAGTTAACCTTGAAACTGAAGTTACAATAAAATTTGCTCTGAGCATCCTTTGCGAGACGACAAAGGCCAAGACTCACATTTTGTTGCACTTCATTAGAAATTGAGAGTTGTTTAAATTGGCTGACCCCAGGAGAGTACGAAAAGAGACCAGAATTAGGCAGTCTAGATCCACCAACGTCGGGAGATGAACGAATGTAGAGATCTGTATACCAGCTACCCAAACGGAGGCTACACCTAGAAGTGAGGGTTTATAAGGGGAAGTATGAATATACTACCACCAGTAGTTAGCGCTATTAATAAGAGGTCGATTACGCGATTACGTGAACCCAAACTAAAACTCACATAAAGTTTACCATTGCAACTGTTTTCCTGAACTTGAACAGGAGTGTTTTTGGGGATTAAGCTGTATGATTTCATTTCGTATTTTTGAAATCATAAAAATAACAGATACTCGAATCTCGTGGCCAAAATAATTTCCACAAGAAGGATAGCAAAATCAAATTAAATATAAAATCTTGTGCTTTTGTTTGGGAATATGCTCCAATTTAAACAAATTTTTGGCACTTATTAATGTGGTGACGGGTCAATCGGAAGTCAGTGATGGGCCAAGGACTCAAGAAAATCCTAAACCTTGGCGTTGCAGGTGCTACACAAATCCAAAAACATGGGATAGATAATTAAAATAAGAGGTGTATGGCATTGAAAGGAATTAGTAAAATGGGACGAGATAAGAAGGGGCACACACTTGGCCATGAGGCAGCGGAGATCGTCGATGCGGGTGGCAATGTCAGTAATGCTCGTGGATGAGATGAAGGGCTGCTGGGCAACTTCCTGACCGATCTCCTCCAGTTTGGTGGCTTGAGCGCGCAGTGAAGGCTCGATGACGCTATCGCGCAGCACCTGTAGCCGCGTCACCGCCTCCTCCCGTGAGCCCGAAGCCCAGAGGAGTTTAGTGTAGGAGAAGACTATAGCCGGATCCGGTGCCGCTACCACCTCGTTCCATGCCACCTCCGATGGGTCCTTTGGCAGCATTCTCAGCAGCACTTGCAGACTTAGGCTCTGCAACAGAGGCATATACATTTCGATTACATCATACTCTTCCGCCACCCATAGGATGTATTTTAGTGAAAGCCATAATATTTTAAAATTACCACATTGGCTTTCTCATGTTTTTCATGAACTCTGTGTACAGTATGGTCACTTCTTCAACTATATTAAGGGAAAATGCCTTTTCGACTACAAAATATTCCACTACTTCAAAACCACAATGAACATTCAGCCATCCTAATGTCCCCATGAAGGTTAATTTGAATTCGTGTCATGGTTTTTTAACAAGTTATGGGAATGACAGACTCCGCGAAATCTTGTAGAGATCGTCATCGCAATCCAACGGTAAACATTTTTCAATTGACTTTTAAACAAACCAGTAGCATAGAAGGAATAGCTTTATTAATTTAAAGAATTTCAGTACATACATTTAAGCAAACACATTATTTTCACGACTGTTCGTGATAACAGACATTTGTCGCGTTCAGTTGGATAAAGTAATTCTTTCAAAATTCCAAAGATTTTAATAAAATCGGAGACACGATGCTATTTACACAACCAATTGGTTAAATAGAAAACGAAACGGTCCAAGGAACTGCTTGTAGCGATTTGCATTATGGAACTTTGAATATTCAAACAACTTGAGGCAAAAAAAATATTTTATAAAGGGATGCTATAATGGAGCATGATACACTTACAAGACGGCCCGAGCGTCGACAGAGGCCGGCGTAGCGGAGGCAACTCTTGATGTTCTCACGTGGGTCGAGGACAAGTCGACGTAGTTGGATGATGCGGCCCCAGTCCTCGACTACCGACTGACAGCCTAGCAGACGGTGATGCCACGCCTCGTGCAGCACTGCACGCCGCTCCGGCACCAGCTTGTACTGAATCACTTCCTCCACCTCCGAGAGAAGCTGTGCGTCCACCAGGTCCTGCACAAGCAGAAAAATAGGCTGTGAATTTTGCAAGAGTGAAACAGCATTGAATTACTGGGGTTTTCTAGTAAGCGAATCTTTTCCGTGACGGAGAATGCGCTTTCTACACTGAGAAGTTTTCTGCGTTACTAAGGTGACCAGTAAAGTAAAAGTATAGGTGAATAAACACGATGAAAATGGTGAAACTGAACGCCTGATACCATTTTACTGAAAAGGGACGCATTAAAATACGCATATAATGGGTGCTTAGAATGGAGTTAATTCATTGTAGAAAAACAATTATAAAATTGGAAGGTGCTTCCCAGTGTACTATTTTCATGGAACCAAACAACTAGAAATTACATAGAGACGTTAAATTTCCTCATAATTTGAAAGGAAAATAGTCGCAACAAACAGCAATATATTTTTTGTGATAAGTACGTGGCCTAATTTTACGAATAAAAAAGTATCAAACAGGGAGCATAAACACAAACGTTACCTGAATTTCAATTAAGAAATTCAAATGACGAGTTTGCATACTCACTACGAAAGAAAAGTTATAAAGTGATGTTTAATATAGAGCGGAAACAGCAGCAGCAGAAAGGGAGGATGCAATCGACCACAAGGGTAACTTGATTGAAATTACGCGCACAACCTTCTACACGAGGATGCATTTAGTAGCCAGTAGGGTTTGGATTTACCAATAAAGGGGGAAGAAGAGAAACGGAAGGGGGGAGACGAACCGGATAGGTGCGCTGGTAGCCCTCGGTGGTGAGGGGTATAAGGTTGGCAGCTAGGATGCTGCGCGACTTAGCCACCTCGTCGAGAGCGGCGGCGTAGTTGCCTTCATGGAGAGCGAGGAGGGCACGGTAGAAGCCGCCCTCATGATCGGCGGGCGCAAAGGCCTGCGTGTAGTGCGCTGCCCGCCCCCAAGCCCCGATGGTAATAGCCGCACTCGTCGCCAGCGGCGCCACCTGTTCCCGTGCTCCCTCACTCAAATGGCCCCAGCGCTCCCATGCCATCGACTCTAACTGCGACCTACGACGTATACCCATGCCACAACTCAGGTTCGCCCTTGAAACAATCTTTCTCAGTGTGTGTCCATACACACATGCATATATAGGTGTGGAGGTTTTCCGCATCACCTTCAGCCACGGTGTGCATGCGAAAAAGACGGGGAGCGTGCACACTCACACCCAAACGCGTTAGGTTTATGGAGTAATATACATTTAAGACTAAGGTGACCATACTCGACAACACGAACTTCACTCCGCCTACGTCATGCCTCAAAACCATACATACATAAGTGTAAATGTCTCTGTTAGTGCCTCGAATCATGAATTGTGCCAGCAAGATCATGTGCATAATTGCGTTAGCTTCCACTACTTTTATAGGCTATCTAAAGTTGTATTTAACGAATACAGATTTGTAAATACGAATCCCAACTTCCAAACGAAAGTCATATATGCGCGGGGGCAATAATACGAAACAAATTCTTGGTTCAGAACGTGTGCTCACGTAGCCCAAACACTAGGCTGCCTCAAAAAATGGTTAATCTTGAGGTTAAGGTTACGATTCATTAATTGGTATTACCTACACATAGGTGTCATTCGTTCAGAGAAAGGAATAGATCCCTAAAAATGAGCGCACAACAGAGGGGCCTGTGTACTTCAACTTACCACTGACCAAGTGAATGCAGACATCTCAAACGACAAAGAATCGGCTTAGTCTTGTCCCTGATCCTCTCGTCCTCCAGTTTTCGGTCGCAAAGAGCAATCGCGCGATCCCAGTTGTGCAACTTCTCGTACCACAGTTCTTCATCAGTCTACTCAAGGAAATGCAAAGTAATGCAGCGGTAAACGAAAAAGACTAACTCAAAGCACGCCATTACCACCACAATATTAATAAATGGAAGATCGGAATTATGTAACTTTGTGAAAGGGAATCATTAACGCTTAAATGAAATGAGTAAAAGAGAAGCAGGTAATGAAAAGAGTGGGTATACCAATTTATTGCGTGGATTTTTCGTGGCATAGAGAAGGACACCGTTTGAGGCCTCAGTGAGCTGTAATTTGTCGTAGATCGCCAACAGGGAAGCGAGTGTGGAAGGATTTGGACTTGAGCGTTTTTCCACCTCATCGAGGAACTCCAACTCCTTATAGCGCAATGCCTTCGCAAAAGCACGATTCTTCATCGCCCGATCAGCAAGAAGATTCAGTGAGAGTGGTAGGTGCACTCGCGGTGCTTTGCCGGAAAACTGAGAGGAAAATAAGATGCGGAAACAAATGATTAATTTCCCTTACTTAGACGACAAGAGTAGTAGATCGCAGCAAGGGGAATAGCGGACCTTGTCAGCATGAGCCATGAATTCCTCCAGATTGAGAATGACCTGGCTTATTTCCCTCGACTGGCTGGCGGAGGAAGGAAGTCGAAGGACATTCTCGAGAGTGTTGATCAGATCGTCCTGCTCGGCGTCACGCAGTTCCTTCCAGCAACTCATGAACGCAGCGTTGAAGAGACGACGGGAAACGTGCGGAGCAATGGTAGTGAGACGCGCACAAGCTCGGATGGCTGGACTGGGTGATTCTCGCAATAGCGATACACTAAGCGTCTTTAGCCATAGATTCCAGTCCTCTGGACTCGAAAGACGAGACGACTGCCAGGCACGTTGCAAGTTCAAACTACATACACCAAGGGGACGAATGAAATCAGTAACCGGTCAGACAATGACATCGATGACGATTTTAAGACAGACTTAGCGTTCAATGTCAAAATATTTAACTTACCTATTAAGAGTGTAATTTTTAACCAGTTTATCAGGATCAGTTTTCCGGGTGAAATTCGCATGAGTGTCCTGTGAAATAGACTGACCGTCAGTGGATAAGTTTGGCCGCCTATAACCATCGCTATTCACCTAGCGCAGAAAGCAGAATACAATGCGTTATTCAAACCGAAGAGGACTGGGTGAGGATCACTTTTTGGGACAAAACGATTAGTGCTCACCTTTTCTATAGCCATGTCGAACCTTTTGTGCGGTATGTTAATCAGATTCAGGGTAACCTGCACCACAGGCATGATAAACTTAAAGGCTGAGCCCATTTGAAGTGCCAGATTGGCGATCACATCCATGCAGGGTGGATAAAGAGCTTTGAGAGCAAGCCGTGGGGCCGATGGTTTATTTTTCACTTCCACAACTGCCAGTGATCGTTCGTAAAGGGCGTTGAGAAGTCTGCAGAGAGGTTGAACAATGTTGGCAGCCAGAGACTCGACACAGAGCACCTCTGTGACTCGAGTTATGCAGCGTAACGCAGCCAGACGTGTCTGGAGGCTGCCGGGCACCGAAGGGCTATTGGCTGCTCTCTGTGCGGCGCGAAGGGCGCTACGTGAGGGGATAGCCACGCCCCCACCGACACTGCCGACCCCTCCGGTTGAGTCCACGAGCAGAGAGTCGACTGGAGTTCCCATGACGAAGCTGTCGTCAAGGTAGGATGGTGAAGTTGCGCTCATCACCTCAACGGACTCGGGACTGCAGCTAGACGAGAAGGCATGCACTGCTGCTGATTGGCTTACAGGCACCGAGCCCGCATTAGCGGCGATGGTCGTGACAGTGGTGATGGACTGTGCTGACTGAGCATGTTTTGCTTCCAGAGATGTGCGTAAGAGATGCTCATAAGGTGTGTCTTCCAAATTTGCTACTAGAGACGTTAATGCCGGCAGTAGAATGTGTAGATGACCATCCAGTAGAGTACCCAAATCACTTATTAAATCGCAAAGCTGAAAAATGAAATGAACGAAGTCAGACAAAGACTATCACTCGCCTAGCCTAAGGTAAACAACTTTCAGAGTACGACCACAAATGCTTAGAGAGGGAAGTATCCACACACCCTAAAGGTGGCATAGTCTCTACCGTCGACGGAGGAAAAAACATTTCAGCCTTACCGCAATGACATTTTCGTCAACCATTTCTTGCTTCAAACAGCGCAAAATGCAGGGCACAAGTCGTGGCATAGAGGGACGAAAGTCAGTTTTAATGGCTTTGGCAATCACGCCGGCTAGACGAATGCAGTTGCGCTGAACAATATGCGATGCAGAGAAATTCCAGTAGGTGGTGATGATATCAACTATTTCGGAAGCGAACTCCTTGGCGAAGGGCCCAATTATCTGGACTATGCTGCACATATGATGAGTGATTGCCTCTTGAAGCTAAATGTGAAGGAAGTGATTAGGGATGGGGGGACCAAATATGCTCTATTAATAATCAAAAAGAACAAATTATACGATTTTAATGAAATGCCGAATTTGTTACTACAATGCCAATTCGATAATGTGTCTAAAATTGATATTTTAAGCAATAAGGGGTCTATTGAAGTAATAGAAAGAGTTTGAGAACCGGATCCTTAAGTTACTAGGTTGAAAGCCATAAATGACAGCTACATCTGTTAAGTGTTCAATAGCAGACAAAATATTGTGAATTTGCAAACATCCCTAACGAAAATTATACTACACTGGCTTGCAAAATATGCGATCCATATGAATGAAATGCAAGTGGAACAACTTAAAGCGTTAAAATTGATATACTTTGCGATGATGGACTCCGGACACTAATACCCGATCTAGTAATGAGAGAAAAAAATCATCAATGATGGTGGTAGGGAGTAGTTGAACGAGAGCGTTTATCTTGTTATTATAAAAAATATGAATGACTGAAAATCGTTATTTAAATTAAGTCGTCAATCGCAACAAAGCCAGTCATGATGTTGATTAACAGCTGACGACAACTATCTTGAGGTCGTTGACTGAATATGTTGACAAAATTTTAAGGTGCACGAAAAGGGTTTGACGTAAGCAGAAGTGAAAGACGAACCTTGGTCTCATGAAGACCCTGAAGGCATTTGAATAGCTCCATCATGACCTGGTGGAGGCAAGGAATGGCGCGCTGGTTAAAGGACTCCAGAACACTGGCTATCACCCGCACCACGTGGTCCCAGTTGCTTCGCATCCCAGGCTCGCGCAGTATGTTTATCAGGGCGGAGAGGGAGTAGCCCGCGAAGAACTCCTCTCGATTGTCCCAACACAGATTCACCAACAACTCCGACTGTGTGATGTCAACTAGTGGACAACGGGGTTATATTTTGGGATCCAAACAACGACGCTCACATCGGCTCACTCAGTCGGTACTGTGAATCAGGTACGCTCTCGAATTTAATAAGCGGTTCTATGATGTCTGAGTACACGGACACACAAATGATGTCACGGGTCGAAGATAACTTGCTACACAGGATAATTTTTTTCGTCGATAGGCTAAACTTGAGTGAAAGGCACCAGAATAAGCAGCTTTTACGAGCGTGGGAGGCATAAAACATGAGCTAGATAAAAGCATCTCAAGGATCGAATGCCACATATTCTACCTTGGACTAATCTTTCACAAAATCAGAAATTTTTACAATTAAATGCATAGCCGAACTAAGCTACTACACGTGTGATTTTAAACGCAAAGATGAAAAAAATGGAGATGGCATATTGAAAATCGGCCTAAAATGCATACCTATTAGGTCTGCAAAATGCACTAGCTTGCATAAGGACGCCAAATAAGAACGAGCAAGTATTTTTAAACTATTTAGTTTGGCTCATTTCAAACCTATCACAATTAGGTGAGTCTCGCCCAAAATTTATTAATTTGACCAGAAATGATAAAATTCACGACTTTCTTTCGAAAAAGTGTTTACATACCATCTCGAGACTCCGCGACATCATACTGACTGACGGCAGTATCTGTCTCCTGTATGTAGTCATATTGACCCATGGAGACTTTTAGTTTAAACGGGTCGACAGCACCAATGAGACCCAACAGGCGTAGAATCTAAGGGACAGTACTGGTAGGTGTACAAAAAGAGGAAAAAAATGTATTGTTCTAAAAACATACCTCTATTTGGATACTCTTCGACTCGACACTTCGCAATAGCGCGAATAACAGCTCCATAAGGTCGGGATGCTTCATGTACGGGCGTACAACGTAACCAGTGTTCGAAACCAGGACACCAAACGCCCACGCAGCAACCTTTAAAGAAAAATTTCAGGTTATTTAAAAGGTTTACCCAAAGGCTACGTGAAAAATTTACCGATCTTTTGGCGTGACAAGTAGGATCCTGCAGCATGTACACGAGTACAGGAATTAAATCGTCCATTAGAGTCACCACAGCCTGGGGACATACGGAGGACAGATGCGCCAGGGCAGAAAACAGTGCGACTACTAGACCTTTCGGTTCGCGCCAAATGGCGTTTGTATTCTCAAGGATCCTTCGGCCGGCACGCAGCGTCCCTGGAATGGACAGTTGATTGGGCGACATAAAACCACCGATTTCACCGGGTCGAATCGCATCCAGAGTGCCCACAAGGAAGCCTCTTGACGTCTCGGGGCCTTCACTGCCACCCAGACTGGCCGCAGCTGCGAGAAATTCTTGACTCGTACCCGGCAGAGTCTCATGTGGCTCACCAATTAACAAATCCAGTTCGCAGCCTCCGCTCCGAGGATACTCGGGGTAACCAAGACCATGGCTTGTCTGGACATAAAAAACAACGAAGGATAACAATAAGAAGTAAAAACAGGTCATTTTCAATCCAAATGCACAGTGGTCCATATGAATGAAGCTGAGTACCGCCTCTGAGAATATGAAAATTAAGCTTGAATTGTTGCAACCCCCAGCCGTACACCAACCTGACTATAAATATTTTCTAAATTCATGGAGATAATTTTAACTTTTAACAAAAGACAGATAAGTAGTGGTATTTCTAAATACTGTAGGATTTATCAGGTGTTTGCAATGATATTCTTGAGCCCAATGAATCGGAATGAAAGCATCAAGACCTTTAGAACTACATTAGGTGCTCCAGTGGATACACACTTGAGGAGTTAATAATGATGAAAAATGAAAACCCAACCGAAAAGCAAAGATAAAAATGCGGGTGAATTTTCCAGACTATTCTGATTCTCCAATATTAATAAATTAACAGACAATATCAGTGAGCTAGGTGCATCGGTACAAGAAAAGGTAATTGCTCACCGGAAATTCGTCATACACGGCAGACCCACACTTGCCCTGTCGTCCAATCGCAGTACTGATGACTCTTGCAGCAATGGCAGCCGAGTGGGCAGCCTGGTTGGCGGCGACAACGGCACGAGTGCAGACAGCTGTGGTTTGGCTGGAGGTGGGAAGGGTGGGCCTAGCGCTGGCAACGGAGCGCGCCAACTGCTGGCCGACGCCCCGGGCTGTGGCCGTCGCCACAGCCTGCACCGCTTGCGCGGCCGAGTGCGCCGCCGACTGTGAGGCCAGTAGGGCCGTACTCAGGGAGATCTCGTTGGTATCCGTTGGCACGTCACCATGGTAGCTGAATGAACAAGCTCCCAATTTGTTGGCTAAAGTAACATTTTGGTCTTTGAGAGGCCGAAAAGCAATTCGATTTGTGATTCAGATTTTTAACTACATAAATTAGAGTAATTAGAAGAACATGTTAGGGTTAAAACAGTCAAGGGGAGTTAAAAGAATATAATGAGTAATAAAAGTGCTAGAAATTTTATTTGTGAGGCACTATTGCCTTTTGATGAATGAACATGTTAGCATGAATACTGCAGGCGGATTCGGGTATGATAGGGTAAAATTATTAAATGCAAAATTCTTTGACAAAGGCGCACAGGGACTTGAGGTAAATGTCAGCTTTCAAAATTATTTGAGGGGAAATATGGAAGCTTGAGATACTGTTTCAGTTGCAGTGCTGGTGTGTTAATGAAAGGCAACAGTATCCACTTGCCTGCTTTCTGTAGTCTCTCGTTCCGCATGATGAGAAGCTTCATACGTAAGTTAATCGGCAACGCGTTTCGTATCTGTGGAATTATTACGTGCAAAAGTGACGCTCCATAGGGCAGGATGAAGTGCGGCGCCGTTGCGGCGAGGATGGCCACCAATGCAGCAGACTCCTCCTTGTTCTTTGTTGTCCCACTGTCTGCTAAGTCTGTGATGATCTAGATAAGGTAACACGGCATAATATATAATTGGTATAATTGATATATTGATGTCAAATGGACCGATATCGCCAACTTCACTAATAGAATGTACTACTTTCTAATGCTCTCTGGAAGCAGTTATGTCTATTAAAACTAGCTGAAATAAAAAAAAACCAGAGCACAAGACCCACTTTGAGCAAGACGCTTCGAAGAGTGGGCTGCACGCAGGCAGGATTAACATCGGAAAGGCGTCCAAGACACTGCATGACCAAGCCACGAATAGCAAAAACTTCATCATTCAGAGCGACAAAGAGGGAATTCAGATGTCGAGACTGTGCCAAATAATTATCAAATTGGCTATCCAATGAAGAGAAGACGCATTTTCTCACCTCAGCATCTAGCAAGACAAAATTGGGGATTTAATATCTTACCTGGGTCGCAAATTCCGACAATAAGTAGCTTCCCCAATATATCTGAAATAGCATCCAGTGTTTTTTGCATTGGACTGGGTACAAGCTCCGCGGACTAGAGGGGCAATAAAGATTAACAATATTGAAGGTAGGCATACCTTTATTAAGGGTAGCATCAACCGCAGACATGTTCTAACTCCTTCCAAACGAATTCCTCTGACACCACAAGCACTGATGGAGATAAAGTTTTCCGCAGTATGTCTCACACAGTATGCCAGTGTATAACCTTGAAGAAAAATTTGTATTGAGAGGAAGGGACAGCAATTCGAATAGGTGTGGAATTCACAGAGGAAGGTCAAAAAGCGAAATGACTAAAGAAGATCTTGCCTTCAAAATCAAAGTTCCCAAGGGTTCTCAATGCCACAGCAACAAGCTGGCTTTCGCTGAGCGCATCGCCGGAAGGGTCAAACTCTGCACTGCTAGAGTTCTTGGAGAACGCCTCACCCCAGGGGAATCCAGGCAGCGGAATAGAACTTGTCCTTACTCGCACTGAGCTGGTGTGGGCTAATGAGTTGCGGCCGCGGGTCGAGCTAATACGTGGGACCGCAACAGCTAAATGTGCGCCGGTTGTGTTTGCACCTGGTGGTACAGAGCCAAGGGCGCAAGGCACTGTACCATTTCCTAGTGTAATGGACGAGGCAGCACCAATGCCAATGCTGTTTGCCAGAATGACGTTGATCCGCTTTAACAAACTATCCTAAAAATACGTTTGGGTACGAAGGTTAAAATGAATTACCATGAAATCCAAGGTGTCAAAGAGAGATGATACTGTTATTACCTGCACATCGCGTTTTAGTTCAGGAATGTATTCAGCAACAAGTGTGCAAGTCACGGTCATCGGCTGAGAGAGTCCACGTGAGATCATTGGGTCTAGAAGGGGTTTGAGCGAAGAACAAGCACGAGATCCTAGGGACTTAGCAATAAGTCCGATCGTCAGTAGGACCGCAGTCGACAAACCACCGAGTCGCTTCCTACAAGGTAGAGTTATCGCACGATATATGGTGCTTCAGTACTAGATTCCATTTTAAAATAATAACAAGAGACATACTTCGAGGCAGGGACGTCTTTCGTTGAGTTTAATTGATTAAGTAGGACAGAGATAAGCTGAGACAGATAACCGTGTTTCTCAAATTCGTCTCCAACACTATGCGTCATAAGACCGAGAGTGACCAGTGCATAACCCTTTTCCCGATCCCGATTTACACAATCAAAGAGAAAATTAATCACCTCCCGTAGAATGCTACAAAACAATAGTAAGGATGGCAGAATGCTAATAATATAGAAAGGGCTGTGTGATTAGAAAAAAAGTAAATTAAATAAAAGTCTGTGAATACAAATTCAAAGGCATCTAAAAACGCATGTGACGTACTAAGATACGAAGTGACCCCGGATGTTTTGGATTTAGTGACAAATATGTATGGACGCAAACGTTTTGAAACGTTTGTAAACAAAAAGCAGCTTGACAGTCACTGATTTGTCGCGCACTTTTATTTTGCGCCTGAACGCGACACACACACCAAAAAAGGTGTAATGAGAATTTTGAGTAGTCTCATGGGAATCGCTTGATGAAAAATTTGTCATGCAATGAAAGAAAACAGTGTGAGCATGGTGAACAGAAAGCAGAGCGCCTGCGAAAAACAAACCTTTGTGAAGTCTCCTCCGGTTTTGCAACATTTTTGAGGACCGACGCCGTTACGTCAACTAATCTGTCGACAAATATGCGGTATGGTTAGCAATCAAGCTGTTATGCGCTTCAAGCAGAAAAAAGGCAAACCTACTCCCGATTTAAAAACGTGCTCCTTTCAAAAGCGACGAGGCGAGGAATCACCTTTAAAACTAGATGTAGCACTCCAGTATGCTTCAGATTCAAGCAGCCAAGGACTAACTCCCAAATCTATAAAAAGAACGATTTCAAGTAAATGGAAACAATGACAAGCAGGAGGTGTATCCCAAAAGAAACTAAGCAAAGGGCGCGAGGTCACACCTTGTTCAACAGTGTAACGTGGCAATCCGACTTAGCACATCAAATTTCGATCAATAGGAAACACGAAGAACAGACCATTTCCTTGGTTCGGGTCTGCACAGTCACCGTCTGTTTTGATTTTTAATGAAGAATAGATTTAGCGGGGGTACCTTATCCAGATTGGCACCGAGCATGCGCTGGCAGGCTTCAGAGACGAGCGGCACAGCCCTCTGCTGACGAAATTGCTGTTGACGCAGAAGTTCACTTGCGACACCCTCATCACCGTAGACCTGCACAGAAGAGGAAAGAGCAGAGAGGTGTGTTCCAGGGACTAGACTCAACTCCATCTGCTGGCTGGGTGAGATGACAACAGGCCATGGAGTCTGGTTCACCGATCGCACAGCCAACTCGCCCTCCGTCTGGTTGACTACCAGGACATGAAAAATGGGCTGAAACACGAAATTTCCTCATAACCAGTTTCACACATTCCTTTTTACTCTTGCAAAATGATATTACCTGTTCAACCATGCTATCCAGTGAGCTTCTCAGCTTTTCAAACTCCGGATTTGCGTAAACAAGGAGTTCATTAAGGATGAGAAGACTTCCATGAGCCCATTCATCCCTTGACATTTTTCTGTATGCTTGAGGTAATGACTATATGCTAATGAATTTTACCGATTCAAACTCACCACTGGCACACGGTGTTCCGAAGATTTAATTGCAATAGCTTTGGCATGAGTAAATAGTACCTGTCCAACACACTGATGATACCAGATCATCGGAGGTTCGTTAACAGGGCAGTAGTAGGAATTAGCTTGTGGTACTGCCGGTTGTTGGCTACTACTAAATTTCCGGATGGGTGTATTACCAATGCCCCTCAAAAACTGTCTACTAGAACTAGAAGGGATAGCTCGATTTGCTGAGGTATGTGCGGCGCTATCACCAAACCCATCCACATTTGCATCGGCATCAAGACTCATTTGTTGTCCACGACGGCCAATTTCATTTTCAGCGGCAATAGCAAGAGTGTTCCGCAGAGCCATGGCCGCCAAATCGCGAAGTACAATCTAAAGGAACATTGGATTGTGGCAGCAATCAGTTTGTTTCCAAACGCTCCCAAATTAACCACAAAATTCGTTTCTCAAACAAACTAACCAATTGCGCTTGTTGGACACCAGATCAGTTCTCACAAATGAAAATATAAAACACAATCTAAGGTACAGAATTTGGTATGTCACTTATACTGTGTGAGTACGGAAATATGTAGGGGGAGATTCCACTACCATTAAACTCACGTCTTTTTCCCTAAAATATTGAAGAAGCACTGGAAGGCACTTTGTGAGGTGATGGTAATAGCTGATGGGTGTGTGCAATGCAGCTTCGCGAAGTGTAAGAATCTACAATTCAAATTTTTGCATTAAATTATAAAATATTGCGTATTTGGGGCAAACAAACAGTAACTTAGCACAAGCTTTCCAAGAAGAGGAGCAAAGAATGGTAGGGCTTACGTAGAACTGCTTTTGAGAGGTGGAAAGACTTCCTCGCTTCAAATATTCACAGGCACGTTTTATCTGCCCTTCAGCAAAATCATTGGGAAGCAGGAGACCGAATTCACCCAATAGACGAGCAGCGAGAACAAGAAGAGGAAGATCGGACGATGTAGATAGGAGATTTAATAAGTTAATAAACTGAGAGTAATATGGAGCGATTGCAGAAAAATCAATTTCAGCTAGGCAACCTGAAGCAAGAGTAAAAGGGTCACATTACAGAGGAATATTAGAAGAATACTAAAGACTAGTGGGTATAGAATAATTTAAAAGGGCAGAATTTGCACCCCTTCCAAGGTGTATTTAGCGCAAAAGCCGCAGCAATATTAACTGTTCGAGACCTTTGCATCAAAGAACTAGAAAGAGGAAGAAACAATTCCCTTAACGGAACTGGAGTTATAAAAGCCGAACACCATATCCAGGGATAAAACACAAAACTACATCCATGGGCATACCGATAGCGAGAATAGCGCCTTTCTTCTCATTGGGATCACTTCCTGATAGCATCCCCTCGAATTCAACACATAAATCTCCGATAAATTCAGCATAATTGCTAGCGGCAGCCTCTTTTAGCTCCAAAGCTACAAAACGGCGGATCTCTGCAACCGTTGAAAGGCGGATTTCATCAGAGCTCGACTTAAGGCCGTCCAAAAAACGACTTAGAACACCATCCATCGGCCTCAGAAGTTTACGACAATCACAAAAAGCGCATGATAGCAAAGCAGAGCGACCGCAAAGAAACCTCGACTTCTTATTGGTTCACGTCAATGGTCACTTCAACACTTGTAGGACAGTAAAAGCATATGAAAGGCAACATCAAAGGTCCAAGCTTTGCGGGAATTAGAAAAAGTAAGTAATTGGGGTTAAGGATTTATATCGGCAGAAAAGCACGCAACCCGTGGAGTTGTTGCACTATTTCTTGAATTAAAACAGGCGAATAACGATTGCCACAAGTTTATTAACCTCAACCTAGAATTGTAAACATGCTTCAAATTTTCAGTACCACACCATTTTAAAAGAATTCTCACGAAAGCAGCAGAATGATATTTAAAAATCAATCGACTTGAATGTTCTACGAATTGGCTCAAAGTTCACTTTTGCCCAAGTACTTAGAAACGTGTACTGAGTTATGTTTGTTTCTTCAAGCACAAGCAAATTCTTACACGAACTTCACCTACAAATACAAGAGCAAATGTTTGGTCCCTTAAGACTTCCTTGAAAAACAAAAGAAGACTCAGTATGTTGGTAGAATATATACGTTTGACAAACGGCTGGACCAGGGCTACTTGTAATACGATAGTGGTTTATCCCTCGGTATCAGTGAGGCACCACTTTTGTACTTCGAATTAGCCCCCTTGTACCCTGCTGGGTGGGCTGGTCTTATGGGCCATGCCAATAGCCCAGCCACCTTCTCTGCGCTGAATACATATTCTGCCCGAGTATTGTGTCTTCTTTCGTCTTGAGGGAGTCTCGGGACGCTGTATACTAACATGGCTCAAAGGCCAGACTACCCAGCTATGGTACAATGATGGAGACCAAAAGTGACCTCTCTACCAAAACCGGTAGTCAAACAAACAAATAACGTATTGCATAGCCCCTCTCCCCTTGGAGCGTCGTCTCCACTGGCCTTGGTCATCCTCACGCTTCAGCCACCACAACCTAGTCAATGCTGTAAGGAAGCACTCACGAGTTAATCCTAACAACAACATTATTGGCTCTGGAGTTCTGCCCTGTAAGACAGGAAAATGTGCTTGCCATCATGGGTGTTCATAGCTAATCGCAGGAGCACTGGCCTAAAAGCAGAGCCACATAAGAAAGGCCGCAACTACACATCGTTCCTTAGGGATAATTTTATGCTTTTTCTCCTCCTTGTCAATTCACTCCCATTTTTAAGCTGCCCGGACATATTTACATGGGTTCGATCCAGCTAGTAGAGAAGTGGACGAAATGTTAGACGTTTACATAATTTGTATCTTTATACAAGTGTAATAGACAGCAGTGTAAAAACTTATGAGCCGTAGATGTGTAGGAGGGATTGGGACTACTAACATTGCCCGGATGTACAATGGAAGAGCACCTTAGTAACCCTATTCTGAAAGAGTAGCACACCGGATCATAAAGGTTTACTGCTCTGATCTCTCTTGCTTAATGATAAATTCTAGTACGATAAAAGAAGATCTACGCTGTAAAATTTTTCACAGGAACTTTCTCAGTTCCGTGTTCTGCGAAAACGCTATTGACACTATCTGCGAATTATCCGGAAAGACCCGTCAAGGAGCTGTTTAAGGTCCCCATATGAAGATGTCAATTAGGCAGACGCGTAGTGACGCCTCTAACCCTCTACTAGTTAAATGCAGTCCTAAAGTAAGGACGATTTTGCATGGAGTTGAAGACGCGAAGCATCACTCTCATGAAACAGTTAGAATTTGCGTCGTAATTAAATTACGGTTTTTTGGCAAGTGCTTAGATGACTGCTGATGGAGATGCGCGGTAGCCTCGATGTTTTTCATTATCCAATCTCCAGCAGTATGAGGACAGAGCATTCCCCTTTTTCATTGCTGCTCTTACACAGGACGAAAATTCGGATCTAGTAGAACTATTTAGATCTCTTATGATAAATTAGCAAATACGGCGAATAATGCAGCTAATTCGTTAGTACTTTGTAGGTGCAGATTAGGTTGTGATGGCTGAAGCGTGAGGATGACCATGGCCAGTGGAGACGACACTCCAAGGGGAGAGGGGCTATGCAATACGTTATTTGTTTGTTTGACTACCGATTTTGGTAGAGAGGTTCACTTTTGGTCTCCATCATTGTACCATAGCTGGGTTGTCTGGCCTTTGAGCCATGCCTATAGCCCAGGTCCTACCGTTTGTCGAATATACACATTCTGTCTGCGTATTATAACTTCTTTCGTCTTCAGGGAAGGCTCCAGGCGAAACAGCCTCTGATGTACAAAAAAACCGTAATTGCTAGCATTGGTCAAAGTCCACGTAGAGGTAAAATTTTCAAAGACCTATGTACTTGTGAAATCGCAAGCAAAGCTGAACAAACTAACAACGCCCTTTAAATGACCAAATAATTTTCTGATGACAAGAGTACTGAAGGTGTGAAGTTTTTGTTGATCGATCCTTAAATGCACATTGAAACCACAGAGTTAAAAATACGTATAATCTTAATTCGGCAGCCATCCTAACGGTAAACGAATTTGACTCAAAAATGTAGTACGGACACAAAATTTGTTGATTTTCAATTGTTTTTTTGCCTATAAAAAACACTATTGACTCAAATCAATACTCGTTTAAGGGACAATTTGTGTAAAAGTTAATGTATGCGCTAATGCTAGACATGCATAAGCTCCCATTAGGAATTTGCTCCAAATGAAAATACATTCCCAAAACACTTCTAGGCGCCTAACACTCTTAGTCGCACTGGTTTTCATAGCATATCAATGCTTTTTTGTACACTAATCGGCAGAATTGATGTGCACTTATATTATAAGGCAACTTCTGACCAAGTAGATGTTTTAAGAGGTTGTATTTATTCCCGCATCTTTGAGCCTCGATGCTTGGGGTGGGTTTGTCGTGCATTGTGAACACATGGTCTTTTCATCCCGTTAAATGACACATTCATCACTTTCTTCAGTTTTAGCGGAATTGCGTCCTAAGTAAATATATGTGGCAATTGCTTTCTACATAATTTGATTTACTTATCCGCAAAGTATCGGATCGTAATTATTATTGGTTTCTAGTGGTCGTCATGTTTTTTAAGTCAGATTTCATTGTTTCTTCAGTCCTCACTTGACAAAGTACCTATTTCTTTGGACAAAAGCGAGTTATTTTCATGATTTTAACTGGTTTGTACTTCCTCCTGCAACTTGTAAAACACGTTTTCATTTTTTCCCCATCTGCTGTGGTACCATCAAACCCTCACTTATTAGGCAACACATCTCCTAATATATACCCTTAGTGAGATGGCGGGATTCAAACACATTTTTGGCACTATTCGAACGCTTTTTGGTACGGGCCTGAAGACGAATTCTCGTCAAAGCGCTTATGATCAATCTGATAAAGAAGCTGACAGTGATGAAGCTCACTTCTCTTTTTTGGTGGAATTTTCTACTGCTTTTGCTGACTGGCATGTTTTTCTGCTTTAAATGCATTTATGAAAATCACCTCGAAATGCATTTCTCAAGGATGAACTTCAGCAGGCTACCAACGCGTCTGCTCTCGTGTCTATCAGCATTCAGCTCTCGTGCAAACATTGTTTCTAGGGATGGTGCCACGATTATTTGCTGGCATCCAAGGCAGAACATCCCCTATGAGAAGACCAAGGTACGCTACGCCTTCCACTCTTCAGTTACTTCCCCATAGCCTATCATACGCGACTTAGAAAGAATAAAACAACCTGAATCGCCCCTGAAAGTCCAGTTTGATCACACGAAAGAGCCAACCATACGAGAAGTCGCAGCAGCTCTGTGCAAGTCTTCACGAACACTTAAGCCCAGGTTAGTTCGCAATTTACTTTGACTTATTCCCGTATTTCAGACGGAAAGAGCGTTCCTTTAGCCCGTACTACTGGGATGATGAGATATTGCGGCGACGGTTGTGAGCAACTAATTTCTGTACAAAAATACTTATTTGGGCTTGAACAAATATCCTCTTATCCTGAAATCATGGGGCGAACAATGGGTGTTAGATGTATTGTATTATAATAAACACAAATGTGCGGAATCTTGTAGCAATCGGATAAGATGGCAGCGTTGATACTCGTTTTTCCTATCATAGGAAAGAAATGTTCTATTTTAAGTCCATGGGAAGCAATATGTACAAGACGATGCTCTGACACTCGCGTCACCTTTTTGATGAATTTACGAAGCCATCTGAAAAAAAATGAATTAACAATGCTCGATATCATAGATTTGAAAAGGATTAAATAATAGTAATAAAAGTAAACAGTCGTGTCTTAGCTTCCACACGGAAAATGAAGTAGTCAGGGTTTTAGGGTCGGAGGGCAAATGTGTGCGTCAAAATCAATTGGGCCTATTATCAGTTGCAGAGGTATTTCAGTCCACTGATGAACTTACCTTTAGAAGTGCTATAGAAAGAGTTGCGCCTGTCCTCGGTTACCGCCTCTACGCATTCATGAATTAAATTAGTCACGACAGGCGCGTTATGGTCAGTGTCCTTATTTGAATTTGTTGCTCTTTTTGAGTGGTCGTATGAGGGGTGTGTATGGACCGTACTGGCACTAAGCTAACTTGGGTCGACAAATTAGTGTCATCCTTCATTTTGCCCATTTGGGTTATTATTTATTTTGTCGTGAGTAGTCCAAGTAGACTCGCGGAGGCGAAGCAGTGTCCAAAAGTAGTCACAAAGGCTTATATACGGGGGACCCCTGCTGTCGGAGCGGTTCCATTAGTTATTGTGATTTGACCAGATTGATTATACAACAGGCTCACTTGATTGGCAAGGAGAATTTGAGCTGAACAGCTGTCCGATTTTGGCGGTAGATCGTGCCAACGAGGAATGCCGGTCTCTTTGGGTAGGACTTTCCTTTACCTTCGTCCCTTCGTTTCTCTCCTTACTGCGCGACAGTGATTTGCTTATCCGATGGTAGCAAATGTAGCAATAAATTAGGCCGTTGCGAATCCTCACCGAAGTCTCGCTTTGTCCATCGCTCAGTTGAATGCCACATCGGGCACAAACGAAACAGGAGAGGTGATAGAACAGACTTAGCTGTTCAATTATCATAAGATCGCTGGTGCCTGTAATGCAGTTCACACCATTACGTACCAGCACTGAAATTGATAAAGGGAATGGGAACGAACCACTAACCCAGCTGTTGATTGCAGCCCGCGCATGTATACCAGGTGCCAATTACGTTAACTCTTGGTGCACGAACAGATGACAGCCTGTAAAATAAGGCATAAATTCCCTGTGATACCATTGTGTATGAGTTACCTGAAGGAATTTTACATGTCAAGAAAAGTAATAGCAGGTCAGTACGTTAAACCAGGTTGGGTTTTTTTTTCAGTAAAAATTTTTGTAAACCATCATAACGGGCTTACCTAAGCCGATTCTGTGATGGCCCACCAAGCGTTCGGCTCGACAACAACCGCGTATCTGTTTGTGTCGGGTGTGTATTTTCTCTTTGGTCATCCTCCCTCATTCTGACTTCGGTCACCTGGCCAAATTTTCCGAATGATTTAGGAGGAGGTGGAGTGGCCCAATCTATATGCTCTTCCAAACTTTGTAGTGTATCCATTGTCACCATTTCCGCCATCAGCGTCTCCGTCTTGGTGCAACTAGCCACGACCTTCGGAAACTCGTGCTCTTCCTGACGCGTACACCTCTGCTCCTTACATACCATATTGGGTAGACGGTCGGAGTCGACTTCTTCTATCATCTCTTTGTGTTCCACCACATGCTCCTTTAGTACCGGTGCAGTTGTGGCTTTTGCAGGTTTTAGGGCCTTTCCTTGTTTACTTTGTGGGAAGTCATCGTCATCAATATCACTTGCAACTAGTGAAGTGTTCTCATAAACCTCACGATGTATCACTACTTTGGGTTCGACTACTTTCAGCTCCCTTCTTGAGCTATAGTTTGATAGAGTGGGTTTGGAGCACACCTTGTCATCCAAGGAGCTGACATCGCTATCGTATTGCGCATCATCTGGGGACTCCAATACTTGTCGATGCTTTCGAGAATGCAAAATCTGATATGCGTCGGATCGAGGCGGATCATGCGAGTTTGATACCTTGGCTGGAAAGGGCGTGCAATACGGACTAGCGTTCTGCCCACTCACATCTTCTTTGGCATTTCTTTGTTGCGGAGTCAGTAAGCGATCAATCGGCGCACTATTGATGACGCCTTGAGCGTAGCAGGATTGGTGAGTAGAGGAAAAACCTTCGGTAGGAGGTCGACACCTTTGGTTTGGAATGAGTTGTAGGTAGTCTTGCTTGAAATTGATTGGCTGCTTAAGAAGGGGCTGAGTTGCAGAGTTTCCACGAGTCGGTGGTGATGGCGGCGGCGGTGGTGGCGTGAGCAGCAAGGAGATAGAAGGGTGTCGATCGAGGCGCGACAATATCGGTCCAGGCATAGGTGATGGCGACGGCGAGATAGTGTAAATTAATGAGGACATCTCGGACGGCGTGGACAGCAGAGAGTTCGACAACGGCGGCGGCGGTAGTGGTGGAGGCGTCGGGGCCTCCAATGACGAACTGGGAGATTGGGCTTTGGAGGAGTTGGTATAAACGGCTGAGACCGGCGGCAGCAGCTGTGGGCAATTTTTATGAGAAGTGCTATCACTCTTAAGATAAGAAGCAAGTAATAAGCTCCATTTTTAACCAGGTAATTGATTTCAGTTGGGACTTTTAAAAACCTTTAAAATGAACAGTCTGAATAATCGAAAAGGTAGTTACTTGGTTTTATTCTTAAATCGTAAGAACATAGCATTGAGCTACCAATTTTACCCTCTTTAACTTATTGCAAGCTAAATCTAGTCCAGCATAAGAATGGGACAATTACCAAGAAATGCTGGTGGGTGTTTTTGACCATATTTTATTATACTTACTACCAGCCTAGTTTTTAAAGCCAATTGTCAAAGTCCTGGCTTACTCCTACATGACCTCTACATTTCTGTCAAAGACAAGCATTTGGTTTGAAAGTAGATGCATTAGCTAATTTGAATTTGGATTTACTGCTAACACACCACTACTGCTCTGCTTATCGCTTAATCTACTGCCTACTCACAAAGCCTTAATTGCGTCCAAATAGATCAAACGCATGGAGCCTGTCAGGATGGGTAAAAGGGTATTTTCATTGATGGTTCGAGTTTGCAACGAATGGAGAAATTCATTATTTTTCACTGAAATTTCGCTCGTTTAAGCAGGTGTCGTGACAAGACTTGTATCCATGGTGGGTAATATAGGAAGAAGGTTTGCGCGTTATTTCCTGTTTTGTGTACGGGTCGACTCCAGTAAACACGTTTGACTTGAATTAAGGAAGTTAAACAATGACGTAATGCAAAAAACCCAAATAAACGAATAAACAAATAGTGAGACAGCATACATGCCCACACTGGCGTGGTTTTACAGCATCCGAAACTCCCACAAGCTCTGGTGGTGATTTCGCGTGTGATAGCTCGACATCACCTTTAATCATCACCACGGTAGAGGCCATTTCCACCTGTGGTGTTGTGTATACCATTTCAGGATCTAGTGGGGAATTTAAAAAAAAACACGATTGACACCTAAATGAAAGTCAACTTTAATACAATACTCCGTTAGAAAACATTGAATAAGTTGGTGTCCCGTAGGAGCTGTGAAAACTGTCTTGCAGAACACAAAATAAGTTTTTAGGGAATTATTCGATTTCTTTATGCAAATCGAATCCAACTTTTATGGTTTGGATAAATATGACCTCACGTCTCTGCGTGGTTTATTGGACTTCAAAATGAATTTCAGATCGTCGTGATTTACCATCGAAATATTCGTACCAAAAGACTTAACTCCTGTAGTGTCAGCTAAATTCTCTACCCATTATTTTCATACCCACTAACCTGAATAATCTGCTACAACACGTTCTGCTGAAGGGACAAAGTGCTGAACACCTCGCACAGGATGGACCTTTTCAATTTCTACCAAGGTAATACCTCGGTCCTCTGAAATGTCCTTATTAAATGCTTCATTTCCACCACATCTAAAATATTGCAAAATTTTGTTTTATTAGAGAAGATTTTGACTTTTAATCCATCACGAAAGAATGTCTCACCTTGCAGGAAGCGATACTGTAGACGCTAATGCTTTTCTTATGCATTTGTTTGCTCAAACTACCTTAAAAGGCTCGCAGAGATACCATATAAGAAGTACACGTACTCCGCTTTTAATTATTATAACGTCTGCATAAAGTATACCTTGGTCGCCGATTTCATATCAATGTATCCATTTGTGCCTGGTGTGGGCAGAAACTGCTGAACCTTTGAATGAGTATGTCCAATAATCGGTTTATGCTCTCAGCCGAAGTCCAACGGTAATAACGTCAACGTTCAAAACTGTTCGGCCTGTGAATTCAATCCCACTTTATTGCTCCTCCTCGAAATGAGTTGCTTTCTGACGTTTAGTTACTCCACTCCGTCAAAATTAGATGCGTGAATCGAGGACCAGCAGAATGAAATTTATAACGCAAGGAACTTGTCCTCAAACTCCTTTTGAGTTTAGGCCTTTAACTAATGGTTAAGCAAAGAATTGGCCATAAGGTGTGCCGTTTAGCAAGTCGGAACGCTCATTTCACACTACAGCCTAGGCGTTAGGCAGAGCTGCATCTAGTCGGGGTTCTTCGAGCGCAAACACTTTAAACTAGTTTTTAATTTATGTGGCTAACTTGATAGACTGCTGCTTAAAGCCGGAACAAAGTCGTGCCCTGGGCCTCTAACGGGCATTAAAACGCTTTTTAGCCAAAGGCACAGGATCATCCACATTAGAATCAAAGTTGGTATATGTTGAGTAGTCCGTTGACTCCCACAATGATGCCTATTTTTTCGTTTATTATGTTGCATATTTCATTCATTTGGGCAGTAATACAAGGCAATAAAGCACTCCACATACCTCGAAATATGAGAACCGTTTGAGAGTGCATGAGATTTCTGTAGAGTCTCCTTCTGTAAAGTAAATTCCATGAGTTGTTGGACAATTGATTAAGTAACAAATCTACTTCACTTACCTTGGTCTCGATGTTTGCCGTTCCCGGGTTCACACTCACTCGGTCAGCAGCGGATGGAATTGTTTTCAATGCACTCGGATTCGCACTTCTTGCCCCATCTAAAAGTGTCAAACTGCCATGAACAGTTAACACGCACGCCGTAGAAGCGGGACCGGGAGCTTTGCTGCTCATTAATCCATTCATAGAGTAGACAATGAACTGGAGTTTTTAAGCAATGGTGCAGCTGTAATTTCACATACCCACGCTCTCCCCCTTTCTCCCTCCACACTGCATGAGACGCATGAAATTGTGAATGCAAATTAGGCATATGCAAATCCCGTGCATACCTAATATGGGCGGTGCGTAAATGAGTGTGGAAAAGAGAGACGACACAAAGAACTCCCGACACTCATAAAAGTTCTAGTATCAGTTTTAAGTAATGAAAAAATTCTGCTAACGAGATTAATATCAAGGTTTTAAAGCCGTATCCACATTAAGCGGCTTGAATACTCCTGGCAAGGAGAAGTGGTGCAGGCAATGTAAAATCCCTTCACTGGTTTGATGCAGTGCCAACGATCAAGCCCTTCCATTAACTAAAATTATATGACCAAAATCAAATGGCAGTTTACGAATCAGTCCAACTTGTAAACTACCAACAGCGTCGCTCTTCAACTTACATGCGATAACAATTGACATCGCATACTATTACACTCATTTGTGTTCTTTCTCCTCCGGTAATCTTTAACAATTTGCCCAATTACTAAAAGACTCTTTATTGCACTTTGCTTTGTAAAGTGGTGAGAGACAGATTAAAAAGCAATAATAGGAAGCGACCATTTGACCTCCTGCCATATCTTTTAATCAATGGGAGCTGGTGGGTTCACAATCCTGTACTTTAGCTATCCGGGTTGTGAACAGCAACGTGAAAACTACCAAAAAAGCATGCACAGTGGTGATTTAGGTCAAAAAGCATAGTAATGCCCTTGTTCCTCCTTTCTAACCTCAGTAGTCGCATTCTAAATACTAAGTGGATGAAACATCAGGTAAGATTAACCGAATGAAGAGGTGCCTGACTTCCAGTAGTAGGATGAGGTTAGCTGCGTATTTGAACGGCAAATAGACAGCGGTGAGTTTGATCCTTCAGCAACACAATACCACTTGGTAGTACACAAAGCAGAAACGGACCTCGGTCGGATGAGTCATGGCTCCGGAAGACCTTCACCTCGACGGGTCTCTGTTTTTTCGCGAGGCGCTCCAGCACCTGGTGAAGTTTGGCCAGCTTGGGGACGAGAATGGGGCGATCAGCAACGAAGGAACAGCAGAGGTTGTCGACTGAAAACAACTCATCACCCACCTCCAGATGACCCCTGTCCGCCATTGAGTCTGCCAGTATGACGTCGAGCAAACCACACGATTCAGGGGCAGAGGAGCGTCGAATGTGCAACAAGTTAGTCGCCTTGAAGAACGACTCAGACATAGTGTCAATCGTGGCTATGATAAGTTTTAATTACTATATTGGCAACTGACAAGGTGTAGTTGTATGAGCCTTCGCCATTAGGTTTGAAGGAAATGGGAATAATCATGGCTAAAATTCGTAAATAATGTGATTCCCGCATTTATCCAGCAAGATGATCTATAGTTATCCGGTGGTACTTCAAATACGCATATCCTCTTACTTGTGGGAAAAGGCGGCTATACTATTCCGAAAATGTGTGAAAAAAGAAAGGATGAGGAGGGAATTAAGCAGAACCTACTATCTAAGCTATGCAGCATTGTAGGCACCATTCACATAGGGCATCCATCACAAAATAGAAACGATGAAAATGACATGAGGTTTTTATTTTTCCTCCGTGAAATTTAAAATCAGCCATCTAAAATCGCCTGCAACTATATTGTAAGGCACTACATCTGGCGAAAAACTGCTAAACCATTGGCGTATTCATCAGCTCATTCCACACCGAAGCTGTTGATGGACTCCAGCCTAGTGATGAGCAGAGCTTTTTCAAAAGCTGCGATCTTCTTAGACAAAACAAAATAAGTCTCAACTCTTAAGAATTCCCGTCTCGAGTTTTCAGAAAATTATTTCACTTGTAGAGGGTACAATACACATTTAGAGGCGTCCATGCGATTTGACTGGGTGTCATAAAGTAAACCTGAAGTCATGCATTATTCATGCCCAATAGCTGCTCGTGAAAATAATGTAATAGTTGTGATGCACTGCTATAGAAAAAAAGCCAAACTTTCCGAAAATTTGTAGTGTACATAGGTTGTGCGCTGATGCTGCATCACTCGTCTTTGTGAACTGTCCATAGTCCACTTTCCAGTCATTTAAAAAGACACGGTCTTGCAGAATTCTCTACCACAAATGAATGACAGCCAAAAGGGTTTCCTCGATCAAGTTCACTACCACAGAACCAGTCGTTAACACGCCTGTGACGCCGGTCGTTTACCTTTGTCAGTATCAGAGGCTCTATATTTCCTTTCAAATTACGTTCGTATAAACATTCATGCGAAAATGCTACATAATACGGATGTAGTAGCAAAAATGCTGCAAAGGCACTGACTCGTTACGATATCCTGAATAACAAATGGCGGTCCGTCATTATCGCCGAGGGCAACAACAGACATGCCCATGTAGTCAGCATTCACACAGTCGGAGTGACACATCAGCCGAATCCGCAATGGTAAAGGCCGTTTAACGCTCCCCTCAGATTCGCCGAATTTCTCAGGAGTGTATTTCTGCAAAGCAGGAGAAGAAGGCGTCGTAAGGAACAACCCAGCAATCAGGGGATGGAATGCATTCACCAAGTTAACCCTAAAATAAATTTTACCATCCTACTTCATATAAACCATTTGCCCGATGACCATTGTGAAGCTTTGCTGAACCTTATCACATTTCATGCCAACTATTAAATAAGTATTTTAGTTCAATTTTAATGGATTTGGATTTTAGTAAAGATTTTATTTTAACTACTAGTGACTTCAGTGATCAGTAGCAGCATGATGGCAAATGATATTACCATTCAGCAAACCGAATTTTAGTAAATTTCCCGAAACATTAATGGTAATGGGTTAAGTTTGACAAAGAACTATACACTTGCTTCATCGGCATCAAATGAATGGGCTTTTCTTGTAGAGGCCTATACAACGCCAAGACGAGCACCAAAAGTGCTGATTGAATAGAGACATTTTGATAATAAGGTGGAGGTGCTTCATTTGAGAAGGTGAGACAAGCCTCCAAAGTATTGGGACACTCATCCTCCAAAACATGCCTAATCAACCTCCCCGATCATGCAGTCAAATCCGATAAATTACTACCTCTGATTGTATGCTCGTTCTTAAAGCGCATTAAAATAGAGATTTATCACTAAACCAGGATTACCTGAATTAGAAACAGTGGGGTATTTTAAAACCCAGGAATAACATTCAGATACGCTCATCAAAGCCGATTCATTTTTTAGATAACTGCTATAACAGAACGGGTGCTCTGTTGCTTTAAAAGAGGAAAGTATTATTGATGCTCACAGAAATGTGGACATTCACAGATCTACAGCCTTGCGCCAACGGTGCCTTCTGAAATTTGACACTTGAGTCGTCGTAGGTGCTAGGAGACCAATCACATTCTCACCTCGACCTGGTAGAAATTGCACGAAGACCTGGTATAATTTAACTATTACAGTACATCAAATGCAATGCGAGCACAATTGCAGTGTTTTCAATTCAGACAAAGATGATTCACGCTTGCCTGTCACACAGATAATCAACTTACAGCTTGCCAGAACTGTGTCAGTCCATAAGACATCGGTAATTGGAAAATAATGTGCAAACTAATTAGGTTCCTTGAATGCTACCAAATTCCAGAATCCGCATCTGTTGCAGAGAATATGGCCTATTAATACTTTAGAAGGAATTTACAAGACATTTCATGGGCATCATTTGACGGGAGCTAAATGCTACCTACGGTTTAATGCTACTAAGGAGCGGGGCTTAAATAAAAAAAATTATGGACCACATGCCTATATCATACCAATTAGTCGAACAGTTTAAACTCCGTGTCACTGTCTTTTACAATATGACGCTTATAATGCAGGAGAACTGGTAAACAGTAATCGTGAAAAAAGTGGAAAAAAGGTTAAGCTAGACCAGTATACGCGAATAAGCCAACTGATGGTGGATCACACCCAAATTATCCATTGCATCAAAACGGCAATGTTATTTTAAATTGGTGTATCACACTGTTGAAGATAAGCTACAGTTAGCTACCAAAATCCATGCTAGACAATTATTGCGATCTGATGGAAGATGGTCACGTTATTTGATCGCAATATCTCGACAGCAGTCCTGCTCTACACTAAGAGATGAAAACTTCAAAAAAGGAGATAGAAACGACTGATGGGAGGAGAAGTATTTGGGAGATATTGATTGTGGTAAATCGGCATGCCGATTTCAGGCGCTGTAAAGCATACGAACCTTTGCATTCCAACGACGCTGTGAATGATGTGCTGTGTTCTCCTTATTTGCGTTACAAACATTGACCCACACAATGTATTTGAGGATAAAATGAAGCCTAGATATTAAAGTTTAGAGGTCTGACTTATTTTTGTAACCATATTTGAAGAGGAGAGGTCTGGCAAGTGAGCAAGGGTCCTCAAGTCAAAGATAAGCGCAAAAGCGTGCTCGTGGCCTCATACAGACGCCTCGGTGATTCTAATCGTCACTTCAAAACAACGCAGACAAAAGACCCATTTTCTCCAGCAAATTCAGTTTTAAATTCCATCATCTCATTGGATCAGTTGTGGGAATATTCCCTTCATTAAAGTAATAAACATCGTTAAGGCAAAAGACAATGGATATTGAGATCGACTAGTTCAACTAATGCTTATCATGGATTATCATGACAAGAAAAGTTGAAATTTTGCGAGTGGTCGCCATAATGTAGGGATAAAAGGTGAAGCATTTCGTGTGATCGACGATTTTCTTGCATTCAATGCTTTTGTTGGATGTAAACAGAACAGAACCTAAAAACGGCAACAGAATGACTATCGACTCCTTATTACAGTATTTACGACTACAGGTCGATTCGTCTAAGAGAGCATTGGTACATTTGGCGTATTGGTATATTTCCCCTAATGTTGACAAATTAAGGGCAAATTAATGCTAACCGTCCTCCATGAGTTAGGTAAATTCCTACTGTTCTGAATGAGGTCTTATTGGAGTTGTTATCAAATGGGATATTTAGTGATCATATCACCTAATCATTCGCCGGTTGAACTTAGTCGAGCGTTACAAAAATCCATAAAGATTGTCTCGAAGTTCAACTTTCACGTTGGCAAATATGTAATTCCCTAAGCTTTACTGAAAGGTAACACAATCTCATTCAAGATCGCGAGACGGTAAACGCTATGTAATATCCAGCGACAAAAAAATCTGGAAAGTGTTAAAACTGACATTGAAATACTAGATAACTTTAGTCCTTGATGTGATGTTGGATTGCAACATCCCCAACCACACTAACATGAAGATGGTCGGAATGCAGAGGTCAAGTTATTAGCAGGAAAATTCAAATTCAGTGAGTTCCCCAAATACATACAACTTGGCAACTGGAGGCTTTCTTTTAAAAACAGTTTAAAAAATAGTTCCTCACATTTATTGGGGTTTGTTTTGATGCTGTATCAGAGGACGAGAAAAGCTCGTTTGAACCAGAATGAGCATCTCTTTGAGGAATGAAGTGGCAGCCAATTTTCGAAGCATCTTGGTCTAGAGTCCTAAAACGGACAAAACGAGCACCGTGGGAGATATATTTGTGTCATAGTTGAATTTAAGATTAAATAATTGTGATATTCCCTAATTTGCGGCTAGCACACAAACCTGGTCATGGTGGTATGGAATTAATATCTATGGCTCAACATCAATACAAATGCACACCGTTAATCATTCTCTGTAGTTTCGCATATTTGATATAGCTTCCACCCCTCTATGAATTGGGCAAGTTTAACTGTTCATACTAAAGTTACGTATGAAGCATTAATTAGAATCAAACGAGATCTGACTTCAGTTTTCCCATATGATCCCGCATGTTGTTGTCTAGGTAGGGAGTATGTGTCTTCGTCACGACCTCGCTCTGTGGGGAGACAACGCAGTGTTGCTGAAGCTCCAAGGAAAGCGCTTTTGCAGCAGCCCTTCGACGCTCACGCCAACTTTCAAGATTCTGGATACACAGAGGAAGTGTAAGTAATAAGGCACAAGTGTAAACAAACGAAAATTTGCCTAAAAGCACAATACATTTCAAGAAATTGATGTAATTGGAGGGTATTAATAATCCATGAGACCAATGCTTACATCAGGACATGAATAGTCTCTTCTTCCAATAATAGTCAATGTAAATGGAATTATGGAATGTATTCTTACTAACGAAATACCAATATTTATGTGTAGTACAAGCGGCCTAAATGACGGTAATTCTTTTCAAAAATACTTAGTGGTTTAAAGAGTATTTCTCTATAGCTTCATGATGAATACTTTCACTGAATCGTAGTGTTTCTTATATAATATTCGTCTAGAACTGACTGTTTTTTGCCCAACGTCGATTTCCATAGCATATAAATGGATAAAATGCTTTAATTTACCACACAAAGAGGTCATAGACAATAAGTAATACGCCTTGTGAAGACTACAAAGGCTGTAAATATGCACGAAAATAATTAGTGAACCGCGCATTTTATAAAAAAAGTATCTAACTGCGTGTACGAAATTCATTGCATAATTTGCTTTTCGTACTAAAAACAGATATATTTTTCCAACGCAAACGTGATGCTGAAAAGGCTCTAAAAAATAAGGCCGATTTCACAAATATAAATTTGACTTCTGTGCATGAGAGGCTGGGTAAAAGTGCAAAGCTTCAATATCGACGACAAAAAATTTACCAATTGCCATGATTCACCATCCATTTGCCTGATGAAGAACCACAAGAAATCTAAGGATTCAATGGAAGAAACAGAAGCATTGCACCAAAATTCCGCATAACTAAAAAATTCCATGTTTCTTTACTACTGCTAGAAACGAGTTAGTCGGATGTATTTGACATAGTGGAAATTTTGTTAAATTTAACTACACGCAAAGTTATGACCCGCACATTTTACGCAAATTTACAATGACGTTGATTAATTCCAAAAATAAAAACAAGAAGCGCAGGTTTAAAGCCTATTTTTGAAAGTCAATTAGTAAAGGAGGAATCTCGCATATTTTAATAAGCAGTCTTCTTGGCAGTCATTTTCATGTAGCGGTAAATAGGGCGCAAAACGTAAAAAAATCACAGTAACAATATTAAAAAGAGATAGCCTAGAGGTTTGGCTTCTTTTTGAAATGATCTGATACAAATTTTGGAAATAAGCGCTTAAGGATATTGCAACAATTCCAGTTATAGGTTGTCCTCAATTAGGGACGAAACGATTATCGATATCGACACAGAAGAATGCAGAGCTTAACAAAGTTTTAAGTCTTCAAATTGGCTTTAAAGCTAATAGAGGCACGCGTTTGTAAAAATACTACTTAGAAAAACATCAAAGCTGTTGTAAAGCGAAACGAAAGAATCCATGAAAAAAAAGTATAAAGTGTGAGCAAAGTACAGCGTGACAGTGTAAAACTTCAAGTAAACGTGAAATTAGAAACTCGTATAACTTGACAAGAAGAATAAAAGACCAGCCAATTAAAGCACCATTAAAGTGACTAACAGGAAAAAATCTTAAAGCAAAAAAGAAGAAATCTAAAGCATTGCGGTCATGTACCAAAAAAACCACTACCTGATCAGAAATTCAAGGCACCGGAATTTATTAAAAAAGAATAAAATAAAGCATAAAAAATTGAGAGAACAAAATGACGGCTTCTCAGATCAAACATTACTACCCAGGGTACAGGTGCAAAGGACAAACGCGACCCGTAACAACAACCTCGACAAATCAATTACGTGCACACATCTAGATATCTATTTGTGGTATATTAAAATATACGCGTGAAATCTAAACTCCGCAACCCAAGTAAAATGTAAAAAAAAATCAAAGTTTGTTATAAAATGATATTTACGTTGTTCGTACGTTTTGAACACAGCCTACAACTTTCGTTTTGCAAAGAGTCTCTTACTTACATATACTTGTGTACTGTTTGCGTGAAAGAAATTTGCCAAAAAAGACAAATGCGCGAAATTAAATTTTGTTAAATTGTGTTGGTATTTAAGACTTGCTCTCTTGAGACAGGACAAGTGTTATTATTTTGTTGAACTGTAGCTAAAAAGCAACACACTAACGCAAGGTTTTTTGAAATACATTAAACAAACCCACACCAATTATGCGGTTTGTTAGCCTTAAATGTCATTTTTATGCGAACAGTTTTGAATACCGCCTTCTAAGCCAGGCCATACAGGACAACACAAAATCTTTTAAGTTACGTAGCGTATTGTGGAGCGAGACTCCTCGGTCTCCGCTTCCCGATTCCTAGCGTTCCTAGACAAGCCCGGTTGGTTTACTTTGGACATCTTTATTAAAGACGACAAGATGTATAGGGAAAATACAATATTCAAGAAGGAGGGGAGCCGCAGTCACTAGGTAAGTGAGAGGACGATCCAGTTACCAGGTTCGAATTTCCTGCTTGCCTCCTCCCTGAAAGGCACATTAAAACATCATAAGTATTACACGTATCGTTTACATTAGTCCCAACCGCTATCAAGTATCAAAATAGTAGACATTTATAGTGTGCCGTTTGTGTATTCCTTTTTCCTAGGCCCTTAGAGCACAGGTTTAGTTTGATAGTGTTATTATAGCGTTCCGGGACATTCCCTATAGAAGAAAGAAGACACAATACTCGGGCAGAATATATGTATTCAGCACAGAGAAGGTGTTTAGGCCATTGGCATGGCCCTAAGGCCAGCTCGCTCAGTGAGATGCAAGAAGGTCAATTCAAGGTGCAAAAGTGGCGCCTCACCAATACCAAGTAATAAGCCACCATCGTATTACATTACAGTTGTCGATAATCGTTAAAGGGAAAAGTCAGGTCCTGAGCGTGTGCTTTCGAAGTCTAGTCTACCCCAGGGACACCTGACCACTGAACTGCCATTTACTTAAAGATATATTCAAACAGGTTACGTACTGCACATTGCTCATCGATAATCAGCTCATATATTGACTCATGTCTGGTCTATTCAGTGGCATGCTTTTGACCTAGCTAAAAACGTCTGCATCTCGAATTACATCAGAATTAGCAACAATTGGCATTGAATTATTTACACATGATTAGTTTCTATAGTAGACCTTATTTAAAATCCTTTATGCATTTGTGAAGTTGTTCTTTTTTGCTTAATAGAAACAAGGTGGAGTGCTTGTACTGCGTGGATCTATTCTGGCGTAATATATCATTTTTAACATTCTAAGTGTAAATTAATAACTTAATATCCCATGAATAACATTAGTGCCATACATTTTATTGGTTTATTCCACCCGCGATTTTTACTGGTGTTCCATTGCTATCGGGTCATATATCGTTGTAATTTGTCTCACTCTGTGATTACCTCCTTCGCTTTCAATGGCATCAGCGAATGTTGGAGGTGGGCGTTATTATTGCCATGTATGCCAAAGACGTGCGTCCCCAGTACTACAAGATTCTACTCTGAGGTGCAATTTTTGTAATCAGGGTTTTGTTGAGGAACTCGACCCTAATGACATGGAATGGGTTATGACTGAGTAAATTGCTTTGTTGTCATGCAATTTCAATTCAAGATTTGATGTAAATCCAGATGTGCCCCCTATTCCCAATTTTGTCGCTGCCATGCAGTCTGCCTTGGGTAATATCACTGTTGGATTTACAAGTGACGAGCCGGTCTCGGCAAATACCCGGTCACGAGCACAACGCAGACCAGAGATGATGATGGGTGGAATAGAATTATTTATGCAAATGCTACTAAATGCAGATTTGAATCGTAAATCTAGTTTGCAATATTACCGTTCCTCCTTTAAGCATTTAACATAGGTGGACCTCCACCTGCAACGCCGTCAGACATCGCTTCGCTTCCCAGAAAAACTCTGTCACAGGCAGATCTTAAGACATACGATGTTTGCTCGATATGCCTGGAAAAGTTTTCAGTCGACGATGAAATACTAACATTGCCCTGTTTGCATGGCTTTCACCAGTCCTGTCTATCAACATGGCTGAGTCAGGTATTGTATTTACCAAGTTTTTTTTGTTCCGTTACGTTAACTTCTTGGATTTTTATATTTTACGTGCACAATGATCTCAGTAGTTCATACTTGAGATTTGTTGTTTATTTTTAGATTGCTGAGTTACTTTGGGGATTAGCTAAACATGACGTGACTTAAGAGCTCTGGCAGTGAATTATTTAGAACTCAGTTGTGTTGCCCTTGTTTTTTTCTCACTTTATCTTCTGGTACAATATTTTGTGAAATTGAGTTAAATTAAGTTGGTCTCCTGATTGGGGTCTCAGTTAATTATTCTTGATTCAGAACAGTTGTTTCAGTAATTAACATGCATGTTTCCATGTTCTTTTTAGAAGATGTTGCCTCTACTTGCCTTTTTCCTCTTATTTAAAGGTCTCCTTTAATACATGGTTTTTCGTTATTGTTTTAACCTTTTCCGAAGTCGTCCTTTACCAGAACGTCTCACTATTTATAGCAGTTTACAGTAAACTGGAGCAAATGACGTCATTACTGTTTCTGCTTCGAATGTATCAGAGCTCAATCACATGCTACCCAAACTTTGATAAAATTTGATGTTTTAATTTCACTGTCCTAAATTTGTGGTCTTTTTTATTTAGAAAGGCTCCTGTCCTATCTGTCGAAAAGACATGCAGGGTCAGGATACCTCGTAATGTTCTTCCAACCTTGATGGCATCTATTAGCTTTTGAGAATCCTCCTTTTATCAAGGTCTTCGGTGGACGTTTGATCGCGTTAGTGCAGTCTCATTTACGTGCTCCGTCACTTGTAAAGTTGCCTTTTTCTGGGAGATACACCTTTAAACTTGAATCTCTCTCTTCACGCGATATCCTTCATTTATTTTAATTCTATCCAATCTCCCTGCTGATGAGAATGCAACATCTGTTCTGTATTACCACATCCTGATGATTGCGTCTGGCGCAAAGGATACGTTTTTTGTAGTCGCCTTCACTTAAGGTGTGGCGCACGAGCCACGGAGTGAACTTTAAAGTGCTTGGTGTTTTGAGTAGCTTGCAATGCCGCATCTAAAATTAGCGTATTACACTACGTGGTTATGAGACATCCTCACCTCTCTGCGCAACGCTGATTAATGCAACTCTGCAAATCTGCTCAAAGGTGTGCCTTTTTAACCCGCCTTCTTAGTAGTGGCTGTTTGCGGTGCACAAGGATGCTTTGCGACCTCGTCAAATCTAGATGGAGCTCGGATGTGAGAGTAATAAAAATAATATTGATAGGTAAGTGAGGGGTCATGCGTCACCACTGCCATGTAGGCGTTCTTCTTTGGGTAATTGACTTGGCTCCAAAAGCGTATTTACTTCTCACCAGAGGGTTTCCTGTTGTGGGAGTCAGTTGGGCTTGAGCGCTGCTTCTATGCTTTGAGGTGGTTAGGAGTTGTGGGCGGTGCTTCCGCCAGATCACGTTTTATCTTGCGTTGGGCTGTGTCGGGATGTGGTTGCTGTTTCGAACAGTGCTGGCAAGCCTTAAGGGAGCCGCATACGATGGATAGGCCCATTGGATGCTGCAACAAGACTGGAAAGTTTAGCGTGTTATGAATTTGGCTAACAAAGTACGTTGCTAAATTCCACCCTCTGGGTATATTGCGGAGGGATAAGGGGCCCTTCGTTAGAATTTAGACCTTGTGGGTCTACTACTAGAAACCAATACCAGATATTAAAGTACATATTGACTGTGCATTACGCAATACTTGCCAAACCCCCCTCTTCATCTTCACATAAGTCGATGTGTTCAGAGATACGTTGAATGCACAAATATGTTGGTGTGGTAAGCGCTGGTATCGTCAAGACTTCAGGCCCCGGGAGGCTGTCCGCGCATCTAGTTCCGAATGGTATTACACTGTCTAGAAAATGCATTAGTATTCTTTACATTTACCACAATGCCTTGTGTCTTAAAACAGTTGCAAATTTGTGGGAACCCAATATAGCCGGCTGATGCATGGATCCACACTGCAGTATATTAAATCAATATTTACCGGTCTACAAAAGCGCATGACAAGAGATCCGGCGATACAATGTCTTACAAGTGCTTCCGAATTCTAAGCCTTCTAGACTGTCTTTTGGCTTCAGGAATTTCGAAAAATGTAGTACTCTACTCTACCATAGCCAGACTATTTTTAGTTTATTTTCGTTTGCTATCATCAGTACTGTTTTAATTACTTGAAGCTCACCTCTTGGCAAATTTTTAGTAAATAGAGCGGAAATAGCCAGTAATACGAATAGGTTAGACAGTTTAAAGTTTCTTGATGACGGAGGAAGTGTATTGGTTAATGGGCAATCTTGTTCAACGAATCTGTTAGCCTTGTGCAATTTTCTGCATCGTAGCAACAAACCTTCTTGACCATATCCGGAATTGTAAGGGATCATGGTTCATCTGTTCGAAAATTTAGGTTTCAAGAAAAAAAGCCAAATTGGTTTGAACCACAGGACGCTGTCGTCTTTGCGGATGGATAGAGCCTTCGAGCTTGCTGAAGAGGCATTAAATGATGGTGAGGTACCTGTCGGATGCGCCTTCGTATATGATGGACAAGTAATTGCTTGTGGTAGAAATGAAGTAAAGTGCCATTCGAGTTCTACTTACATAGACAAATGTTTGTGGTGATGCAACTCAGCATGCCGAAATCGTAGCAATAAAACGGCTGGAACAGTGGTGTGCAAAAAATGACCTGAGTTTAGAATCCGTATTACCTAAGGCTGTGCTTTATGTGACCGTGGAACCGTGCATAATGTGTACAGCTGCTCTTCGGTTTGGTCTTCCAGTTCAACCAAAGTGGTATATCAATCTTTCTTTCTGTGGCAGGTTTCTAGTGTCATTTATTCTTCTCGGAATGACCGTTTTGGTGGTTGTGGATCTGTAATGAACGTCAGTACCGACGACTCATTGAGATCTCCATTGTCTTGCAAATTTAATGGACAGTCAGATAGATCAATTAATTTGCTGAAGAGATTTTTCGAACAGGAAAATTGGAATGCACCTGAGGAAAAACGATGTAAGAAGACCAGTCGTGATCACTTTTAACAGTTCTCTGTCGTCTTTAATGCATCCAACTTTTGTTATGTAAATAAATCCTCCCACTCTTCAGCTTTTGTGATTAAACCCAGAATTCGCTTTACTTAGGCAATCGTATTCGTTTTGATATGCTTGACCTTCTCAGGTCCAGTCAGTCATTGTAGGGAGTTTGTGTTGCATGGTGATGTTGAATGTTTTGCTGCCGAATGTTCTCTAGCGTTGTACAATGTTTTGTTATAAATCACTGGCAGCATATGCTAGTTTGGTCCGGGTGATGGTGACGTGCTTTTGGATGAATTTAACATGTTGGAATTTTCGCGCTGTAATTGGGTGATGAAATATTTGTCAATATCTCTACACGTAACTGTTTGTTAATAACTAATTGAACACTGTGTGGGACAACTGCCTTCATATGAGGGTCGGACATGGTAGTTACTGCGCTCGGGTCGCTCCAGTGATCTCTGAATCTAAGTAGTCTTTAAACTAGACGTGACAACCGGTTCAGAGGTGCTCTGTTCGTCCACTTTCCTTGGAAATATCCCTCATTGAAAAACGTCAGTCAATATGTAATTATTTACTTGTGTAGTTAACTATCGGTTTTTGTTTAGTGTCACTTGGGGCTCTGTCACTGCACCTCCTCCGGGCCATGCTAGTGGCCCCAATCCCTTCTATGCATCTTCGAGATATATTTCGTCCGAGTATTGTCTTCTTTCGCCTTAAGAGAAGTCTCGGCTCACTACAGTGGTGATATTGGAAGGCGCACTCGATCTTAAAGGATAAATTCTAATCTCAACTACTAGGTGATAAATCTTAGCTGCAAGAAGTGTATATACTGCAAGTGGGAGAGTCCCTGACAACCCCTACTCAACAGAAGGGTTGAAAATGACTTCTACCTCCGCCAACCACCACGGTCCTGTGTTCTGCATGAAGGCACAAAGTGTGTCGACGTCTGACTTCCTCCGCTTCCCTACTAGCCTGATAGAACCCAGATGGATACTGCTGGGCATCTTAAAAGTGAGAACGAAATGACAAGGAGGAGAAAGTGCGAAACCTTATCCTCAAAGAGCGATGTTCAATCCTGTCCTTTGTTATATGACTGCTTTTAGGTTAGTGTTCCTACGATCAGCTATGGACACGCGTGACGGCCAGCGCACTTTCCCGTCTTCGATTCCATTTCCTTTACAGGACGAAACTCTAGATCCCGTTAAGTGTCTCCTCAGTTGCTTGGACATTTCATGACCGCCACGGTTGGCTGATAAGTGCTTCCTTACAGCATTGACTACGTTGTGATGACTGACGTGTGAGGTTGACCAAGGCGAGCGGCGGGGACGACGCTCAAAAAGGGAGAGGGGCTGTGTAATGCGTTGATTTTCTGTTTAACTATCAGTTTCGGTTATGAGGCCACTTAGGTGCTTTGCCACTGTATCTTCGTCGGGTGGGCTAGCCTCTGGACCACCCCAGTAGCCGCAGACCTTCTCCATGTCGATAATGCATTTTCTGTCCACGTATTATACATTCTTTTGACTTAGGAAAGTTTTGGCGCACTCCAAATACCTCTAATAAAACACGATTTAGCTTACACAGGCTCGTTGTTAACAGCTGCATTCCTGACCTTCGCCAACATAATAAAGTTGTCATCTCACTTCACTTGACAGATATTATTAAAAACGTTATTCTAACATCAGCAGATTCAGCTAGAACTTTTTCAATGCAAATTGAAATATGATCTTCTGCAGGATATTTCTCTTGAATTGCTTCATTTCGGCAAAGGCAACTTTCATTACATTTGCTAGATCTGATTGACGTGATGAACTTAAGGAAGCTAAATGCGTCTTGGATCTAGCATTGCAAGCAATACTTTTGCCAAATGACTACAATTTTATTACTGGCCTTTCTGTGAAAAGATGCGCTCTGTCTCGTGATAGCTGTTAAATGGTTATACGTGTTCCAGCACTTTCGGTTAGGCAAACTGATTTATGTTGGACCCTAATGATATCATGTAATCATATTAAGACTGCACTTTTACTTTTAAAATGAGAATCTCTTGAAGCAGAGAGGAGAGATCATCTAGTTGTTAGAGTCTGGATGATGAAAATCCTTTTATTGGGTCTTACACCATCTCAGATAGAAACAAAACGTTAAGATATTAATGCTGCAAAATGTATTTGAAAAAAGAAGAATTAGTTTCAAATCATTCGATGAACTGATACGTAACTAGAAACGTTGAATTTTTAGAGACCACTTTTTGAAAGGGTTTATTATTTTCTTGGCTTTTGCTGGGTGGATTGACGTTGTTGCTTGCGTGCAGAATCTTGTTGTTGTTGCTGGAACGACTGAGTTGGCCGCGTACGTTGTGAGGTTTGGTTTGGAGTCGAACAAGGTGCGTGCAAATCCCCGTATTGACCATACTTACATGGTGGTATGGCTTGAATCGGTGTTTCGATCTCCTTTTTGGATTCATCGATATAGCGATTCGGACCCAGGTATTCATAGGTGTCCAACATCTCTTTGAGGCATAGCTTTGCGCAAGCGAAGGTGATGGGCTTTGATGGCGGCTCTGTCGGGACTGACTGATTGTCCTCCTCGACTTTTTTAAGGAACTTCCTTATATCTCGACACGACATCCTCTCTGCTCCTCCCTGCGACCGCACTAGCCTCTCGGACAAACTGATCGATAGCAAGACGGCAATTCAAACATCGGCGGCTCGGAGGGCGAGGCTTTTGTAGGTGAGGCTGCTACTAAATCCAAAAGCATGGCATTCTACGTCCCGAATTCACGGAAACCATTGGAAAATTTGCAGCAAGAGATGGACTATTCACGAGGACGGCCTCTGAATCCCAATTTGGATATTAGCCTGCCGACTTACGTGATTGAGAATGCAATAATTCGCGCAATAGCTCACGACAACTTCCCCTATGTTACGGATTATATTCGAAAGTGTCCAGCCAACATCACGCGGTACATTTACCATGAGGTATACACTTCACAAAAGCCAATGCAAAAGACGATCACAATATGCCCTCCTCTTTATCACGCCATTCGCGAAAATGCTCTCGGATGCATTCGCGTCCTAATGCAACATGGAGCGATGGCTTTCCAGCCCTCTTACGCGTTGCATTGGGGTGGTTTCCAGGACGGTGAACCGACAATTGAAATCATTGAAAAACCCAATATAGCCTGCTTAGCAGATATGATTTTGGGTAAAGAAATTGAATTTTCCTCACTAGTTTTGAAACAAATGAAGATGGTCAATGTCGATTTTGGATTGCCGGTGGAAATAAGGGTTCAACGTTTACAACAACCGACCCCGAATTCCACTAAGACAATTCAATACAGCGATGCGTGGGAATGCATCGAAAAGGCGATTGAGAAGAGCTGTCAACGAGAAGAACTGGCTAATTTCAAAGCTATTCTGAAGAAGCTTCATTCTGCATACAATACAGACAAGCTGGAATCTCTCTACGTGAAAATGAAAGAAACGCGGCACAAGAAACCTCCCTCACAACAGCTGGAGGAACCGCCACCTTGACGAATTATACCCACACGACTCCCATGTGCACTTTCTTTGGCATTTTTAAATGTTTATTTGTTCCCATTATGCTATACCGATGAATTCTTTTCAGATTAACAGGCTCCACTCTCTTTCTTGCATCTGAAACCCAGGTTTGGTTAGAGCCGCTACAGCCCATGCTCCGGCCTGTCACGTTTTCTCATTTAATCAACCTGCGCTGTCCGTCCCACGTCTAGAACAAAAGGCTTCATAACCCGAAATCTTACCCGGCTTTGTGTTTAATTGGTTTTTTTATAAAATCACATCGATAGTCTAGGAGGACTGCCAATTATGATTATTTTCGTAACAAAAATCGGTGATGTTAATATCAAGCGTAGCAGCTTTGAAATAGACATGTCATGATACTATTTTGAGAACCAGAAATATGCGCAAATCTTTATAATCCTACCGTACTGACAACCGCCGACAGCCCATACATCATATTGCCACGATTTATTTGCATTATCGTTGTAAGAGATAAAATCAAATCAATCTGAATGACACCATAGTAAGCAACCAGACTTCCGGAGTAGCTTTCAATAGTAAAAAACAGAGATTTTCCACACACAGAGAGGGACAATACATAGCTAGAAACGACGTCGACCGCTGCCACGAGCGCGACCCCGACCAACCTGAAAGCCGCCAAATCGACGGCCCGTTACTGGAAAGTGCCGTTGCAGTTTTGGAGGACTTTGTTTGGCCGCACTGTGAGAACCGACCAGCGTCGTAGACGGAGCAGGACGTTTTAATGTCGACGTTGTATCGACCCACGAGAGAGTAAGGTCGCTTAGATGCTCTGGCTCTACCCGGGGGCGAAAAAGACACCGTACCATCTTCTCGATGTTTTCAAGAGCCTAGAATGAAAAAGTGCGAGTCTACTGCCGTTATAAACAGTTCTACAAAATATGTACCGTGATACCCCATGCTGCCTAAATCCAGTTCCCTTGAGTAATTCATGTGAAACGACACCAAGATCATCTCGGATACAGGAAACATTAGCACCAATAGCAAGCACATTTTGTTAGAGTAAGAAACAATTCGGTACTTAGAAAGCTTAGGCAAGTATGTGAACATGCTCGCCTCGCAAGTAAATAAGCAAAAAAAAGCATACCCGTCTGGCTTCCTCGGCTAGCATCACAGGGGACAGCCCCTCTATTCGGAATGTCGCTTGTAATTCAGCAATGATGGAGGCTCTGTATGAACGAATTAGGCGCGCCGTGTATTGGACTTTCTGTCTCAACGCTTGAAGACGAAAACATCCTTCTCTTGCTGCCTCATCGTCCCCAGCCTCCGTAGTGCAAAGGAACTTGGGATTAAATCTAAGGAGGCTTAACAGGGAGTAAATGCAACATTCCTCAGCAAAAGCAGGAACCAAAAGTTTTTTAGAGCCACTATCCTCGAGAGTGATTATTAGTTCCTGGCCCGAAGACGGTTCGGGCAAGAGTTCCATCAAAAAATTGTACAAAGGTAACAGGGTATGCGTTTTTTCGTCAGACCGAAAAGTAACTCCAGGATGAGCACTAAATTCAGCCAACAGCTGCAATATACTTCGTTGGTCAGATGGATTCTTCACCAATGATACTTTGGGGATAACTTTCACGAGCACGTACCTTAGAAACCCACCTGCGGAAACGTTTTTCTAGTAGAATTTGTGGTAAACTGTACGAAATCACCTACCGACAAAAGCTGTACCACTTGTTTTCCGCAATCCCGTATATGTGTGACAGATGACACAACCTGTGGATTAAAAACTGGTATAGACTGAACGACATGATCAGTAATCTTATTAACCAAGCTCTGGCGTGCTTGTAACGACGTCGTAGACTTCAACGAAGAAATAAGGGATATAAGTTGCACGAATCCACTTCCAGAGACAATTGGCAGCAATTTATTTGATTGTTGAATAATGAATTCCTCTAGTTCTGATGATATTTTTCCATCAGGAAGACGCTTCAAGTTGGCCATCAAAAATTTGACCAGATTCTCTCTATGAATCCCAGAATCATCCGATATTATGTGGTTGAAAATGCCAGCAAGTGTGCCGCTGGGGTCCATTTCAAGTAAATTAAACATAACTAAGGTAATAACGTGAAGTTCCTTTAAGCAATAAAAACAAACAAAGACATACCGATGCATCATCAGACGCGAACATTTGACTCAGAACATCTGAAACACGCGAGATATACGCAGGCTCCGACTTGCATATTTGCAGGAGATCATGAACTGCTTGCATGCGTATTATCGGGTCTTCATCATCACAGAGATCCAACAAGTGATTAAAACTACTTTCTTGTTCATTTTTGAATAACTTGAAGAATCTGCCTATAAGTTGAGATGAAAGTCTTTTCTCGTTTGGCCCACATTTGCTGCCTAGAAGAATAATTTGAAAAGCATTACTTTTCTAAGTCGTAAAAAGTGCTCTTCCTGTACAAACCTCAACATCAGAAGACTTTTCATTTGATATAGTATCGAAACAATTGTAGAGCGACTCAACACTCACAGCAATCATGACTAGCTAACGAATTCACGGGAAGAGGCTAATGGAAACATGACTCATTCGGTGTGATAACAAAGGCTTGAAAAAGAGGAGTTTAGGTGGTAAAAATGATGCCCTTTAAAATATCTTGGTTAAAAGATTTCAATGGATTTTGCCCCGAGAAAAAGGCAGGGGAACAGTCGGAATTCAAATTTTATGCTTCGAACCGGGATTAGCTCTAACTAGACCTTTCGAAAATCAGTTTATTATTTGTGCAACTTGACTAACGTAATTGGGTAAAAACGGTGTAATTTCCTACCTCGTGGGTACTGGGGATTTTCAGCATGTTCACAAACCCCACAAATTAACCAAATCTTTATAGCTAATTTTCTAATATTCATCAGGTACAACCTCATTTAAATTTGTTGATACATAATGGCAGCTTTATTTTAATAACCCACGAGCTTTCCGCGTCCATTGTTGCATATGGGATGGAGTCAGATGTCGAGAGTGATGTTGCCCTGGTCAAGCGGAGGAGGAATGATTATGAAAGCGATGACCCTAGCGAGAGGTCAGACGAGTCATCTGAAGAAAATGATGAAGAGGAAGAAACACCTCAAAAGCATGGAAAACGTCATCGCGACTTTAGGGATGTCCGGGTAAGAAAGTTTATTCCCTACTTTACTGAACGGAAGGTAGCAGTTTCTCTATTCATTTTGTAAATTCTTGGTTTTTTGAAAGGTTTTGGGCACCCAAGCGCCTGGTTTTGGATGTTTTATAGGTTCTTATATTGAGCACATCCCCGTCATTGCGCTTTTACACTTGCGGTTTGTGTATCAGGCCGATAATGTCTGTTGGTTATCTTGTTCACCGTTTTGGTTAATCTGATCGGTTTAGTTTATCGTTACTTTCGAAGACGATGTGATGTGTACCCATTTGGAAATGGCCTTTTTCTCGGCATAAATGATACTATTCTTTTTCAAGCAAACAACTTACCAAGTGCACGAATTTTTAGAATCTATTTATTGATGAAGCCGAAGCTGTGGATGAAGATGAAGAAGAGGAGGACGATGATGGTGACGACGCCGAACTTCTGGGTCATGAGGAGGACGAGGCCATTCAATCGGCTATGGCATCAGCTCGCGATCTTGAAGCCCGCAATCGAATGAAGGAGTTCACAGATCAGGATGTGGAGTGCTTAGAACGGTACTTTCAACAGCGTTATGAGTCGCAGAATTATGCTTCACGTCGGTTTGGTGAAGGGGCCGGCATGACTGCTAGCATCGTCCAACAGGAAAGGGTTCCTGGTATCAAGGATCCTAGTCTCTGGGCTGTTCGCTGCCAAATGGGTGAAGAAAAGGCCACAGTGCTTTCTCTTATGCGTAAATTCCTCGCCTTTCAGTTGTCAGATACACCTCTTCAAATAAAGTCCGTGTTTGCAAAGGAAGGTTTGAAAGGTCACATCTACATCGAAGCCTTCAAGCAAACTCATGTGAAGCAAGCCCTTGAAGGTATCAGTGCGCTATCAAGGGCTCGGTTTGAGCAGAAATTGGTACCTATTAATGAGATGATTGATGTTTTGAATGTGGTCAAGGAGACTGCTCAGTTAAAGCCGAAGCAGTGGGTTCGCCTCAAAAGTGGTCTTTATAAAGACGACCTGGCTCAGGTAGCTCAATCATTTCTCATTTCAATTTGACAATCAGTGAGGTTGTGAAAATTTGATGAGCTCACTTTTACTTTTGATTGTTCAGTAGGCTATTGGACACACTATTTCAGTGCTATTCCATTAACTGATTCAGTCTACTTATTATTTTCTGTTGACATGGTTCGGTAGTTGATAGTGCACGTGAAGGCATTACTTCCTCTCCTGTTCTAGGTTGAAAGCGTCAAGGATGCGCAAAATCTAGTCCGGCTCAAGCTCGTTCCTAGGATTGACTACGATCGTAAACGAAGCCGGTTTGACGACGGTGATGGGGGAGAGGGTTCAGTGCAAGGCCCCACCCCAGGCTACCGCAAAGGGCGTTGGAAGCGTCCTCCTGCCGCCCTCTTTGACCCCAGTAAAGTTGCTGATCGCATCAGCAATAGCGGTTCCTTCATCGTTTTCGAGGGCAATCAATACGACTCTGCTGGCTTCCTCCGAAAGGACTTCCGCATAAACGCGGTCGTAGGTTCCTTTTCGTCTTGGGATTGTTTCTCTCCTATGTGTTATATTTTCCCAAAAAGTTTTCTCATTGGGATGTTTATGTAGTTCTGGATTCCGCCAGTTAGTTTCGGGCTTCAGATTTATCCTTTATATGATAATAGGCTACTTTTGTTAGACTCTTTGAAGGACCACTGAATCTTTTTCTGATTTTTTTAGGCGTTTTTGTAATTGCTTTGATTTGTCACAATGCTTGTCACCGTGTTCTTTTGTGTAACGATTGTAGTCGTTAAAATTTGAGATATTATTATGGTAAGCTTACTTTTAGTTATCTCCCTTCCCTTATAGTAATTTTTACTTGCCTGGAATACCCTCTTTTAAATAATCATGGCTTGGTTCGTAGATTGCTGACGGAATCCGGCCAACCTTGAATGAGTTGGAGCGATTCAACCAGCTGCCTGATGGCGCTGAGCTGGCGGCGGCAGCTGCATCCGTGGCGACCAAGACTGTCTCCTCTGTGAAACTGGGTACAAACGGTGAGGTCATTTCGTCGAGCCATGGCTTCATGCCCGGCGATATTATCGAGGTCTGTGGTGGTGAATTGAAAAATCTTAGAGGCACAGTACTGTCTGTGGAAGTCGACGATAGGGTCATAGTACAGCCCAGTCATCATGATCTAAAAGAGCCGATTCCTTTCAATCCAACAGAATTAAGGAAGTATTTTGAACAAGGTGACCGTGTCAAGGTAACTCTGTTTAAATTGCCTGCATAGAATCTCCCCGATAATATTTAACGTCGTCTTCTCTATCCTCTAGGTCATTCATGGTCGTTATGAGAATGAGACGGGACTGTTGCTCGTCTATGAGCCAAACTTGTGCATGGTCCTCCCAGATAGGGGTATGTCTGAGATCCGCGTCGCTCCAAAAGACCTTCGTCTTTGGCAGGACCGGGGGGGTTCCTCGGATGGTGGCCGGCCGGATGGCGTTCAGTTGATGGATTTTGTGCAGATCGACTCGCACAACTTCGGCGTGGTAACCCAAGTCGACAGAGAGAGCATCTCAATTCTCACCTGCCTCGGCAAGGTGGTCACCGTCAAGGCAAACACTGCTCTACGTGTTATGAAATTTGGCGGTCCACGCGGTGTTCAGCCTCAGGCCCTCGATCGTAATGGGAACGTCATTCAGGTGATGTGCACAAACAATTCATCATCTTTATCAGATTGTCAATATTTGCGAGTAGGAGACTTCTCATTACTTATAATATTTAGCAAAACTATCGTAAAATCCCTGCTTCATTTTTCCGTACTTTTATGGAGTCGTTATTTGGCACCAACTTGAGCTTTATGCGACAGTAGTTTTGGCTAATCGGTCGTATCGTTAGCGTGCCTTATTTACTCACAAAGTTTGGAAATGTGCTAGGTAGGTTGACTGCTTATTTATTCGTAGCTCAGATTTTAAAAAATTCTCACTGCCCTAGATCAAAGACAGTGTACGTTTTCTTGAGAAGCCCTACACTGGTGTAGTTGGCGAGATCAGATATATCTATCGGTCGTGGGTGTTTATATACTGTCGAACACACGTGGAGAACGCCGGAATCTTGGTATCAAAATCGCGTCAGTTGGCGCAGATTGGAGGCACGGGGAACAGGAAGGATGAAGGCCTGTCATCCTCACACTCTGCCCGTCCTCCTGCCGTCCAGCCTCTCTCGGGCCAGCGTATATGCAATTCCAGGGGCCCTAACCAGTTTGACAGATCTATCATCGGCAAGACGGCTCGCATCGTTGCTGTGAGTTAATGCCAACCTCCACTGCGCATTGACATTAGCCTTATTGTTATATTAATGCCGTCGACGAAATTTGCCAAACCATTTGGCTTGATTGATGGGTAGGTAGACAGGCCCCTTTGGTACAATGTAGCTTTTATTTGACCATTACTTGTAACTAGTCCTTTGTACATTTTTTTTCTCAGGGCACTTTAAAAGGCTTGACGGGTATAATCTGTGACGCCACATCGAACGAGGTGCTGCTGGAACTGCACTCCCAGTTTAAAAAGGTTCACGTTCTACGTCAGAACGTCGGCCTGTTAGATAGCTCCGGGCACATCATTGCCGACCAACTTGGCGCCTCCGCGGCCACCCCTAGGGCCACCTCTGTCCGGGAGGCTCGCACACCCATGGTACGCCTTCTATGTTCTCCTATTTTGCTCCATTCTTCCGGCTTCTAGATGCGTACATCAAAGAATAATATCATAAAAGATTAAAGAGGGTGATGATAAAGCGATTTATTGATTAATACCTGATGCTGTGTTCCATGGGGGTGGCCATCAACATTACAGTTATAATCACACTTTAGGTATCCGAGATCTACTATACATGGGGCAAATAAGAGTTACTTTGACTTCTTAAGTTGGACTGTTTACTATCTTAAAAGTGAAATTTTTTTCTTTCACTGAATAAATTCGATAATGAACTGTTAAATAGACTAAATGCATACGACTTGCTCAGCAGCTCTAAAATATGGTCTCTTAATCATGGGTTGAGCCACCGATAATTTCGGGTTACAGGATTATGCTATGGATCTAGGCGCTATCTTGGACCTTTAATCCATAATTCGAGTCCCTCTTTAATCCACTAATCCTTAATTAAGTGAGACGAAGTAATTTAAATCTTGCGACCTAGGGAACGTTTTTTTTTGGTTCAGCTGTAATAATTCAAGCACGGCACCTAACCTTATTCTTAAGGCATGAGAATCTATTCGTTTTATTCGCTCGACTATTGTGAATGGCAAAAGCAGTGCCTTTAATTTTGGGAGCCACTTGTATTGGCAGGTCGTGGCACCACTACCGGGGCGGTTATGTTGTCACTCATGCCTTTGTCCCTTTTCAGGCGGGATCGATGACACCTCACGCGCCGAGTATGACTCCTCGTGCTGATGCGACACCTCTACCATACGCTTTCAATCCAAATATGGCCACTCCTGCTCACTTTATCAACGACGATGGCCAAACCACAGCAGGTGAGCAGTTACTCCCAAGTTGAGAGTGGTGTACCTTTGTACGTTTGCTTCATGTGGCAGCGGTTGGATAAGGGTAGGTAGTGCAAAAGTTTGGTCCTGCAAAAAGTACGGTGTGTGTAATGAGTCGTTTTTTATATTTCGTTGAAGGAGTATTTATTGAGTGCAACTACTTCTTGTCTTATCCCCACAAATAGGCTACCAGCCATGGCAAACACCGGACCATCACAGGACGCCTAGGTCAAGTCACTCCATAGACGACGAAGAAGACGAGTAATTGGACCGTTGCTCTACACTTGTCTTCGTTTTCGTGGACCTTTTGCAATCTCTGTTTCCATTCACAAATGGGAAATGCAATCTCTCTGTATAATCCTCTTTTGGTGGGTAGGGTGGGTGTTAACATTCTATCTAAATTACCGGATGATGGCAGCCTCGGCTTTACTGTCTGCGTGTCCAGTTTGTCACTCTTATTTGTCGAAGTAATAGGTTGGTACACTTGTGAAGTTTACTTCAGGTCCAAAAGCCATGATTATCCCATGTTGCATCTGATGGGCTGTATTTTGCGGCACGGCTGCTCTGCGAGAGTGCCTCAGATGAGACGAGCCTGAATGGTCCCCTCCGGTCGTTGTGTAGTGTAGATTGGTTGTGTTGTGTGCTGGCCATATTTCTAATCCAAGTTCCACTAAGTGGAGACGTAACTGAGAGGACTTGAAACGGTTTCCCGAAGAGGTGACGAACCAAACGTCCTAGCTGTGGTACCACTTCCTGCACCTCGTTAGAGTTCTTGGGTTTCGAACGTTTTTTGCTATTCGTGTAGTGCTGTGCTGTGGGACCGTTAACTGAAGATGCATTTATCCCCATCTCATCATTCGAATGGGAGTCATCTTTTGGAGGTGTTTAAATTTGGGTTTTAGACTGATCTGCGCTGGCTGCACGCCGCATCTGTCGGGATGTATTTTCCATAACGCTGTGATTTTGGCGTCATATTTAGTCGCCATGGCTGAAAACAAAGTTGGATATGCTCTTACCTATTTAGTGCTAAGACTTGATTCATTACGCTAGTGCCCTTCCTGTATGCCGTCGTCCCATACGTCTGATGTTCTGTGCATACGTATATGCATATGACCGCCCAGCTTGAATTAATGGTGTAAAGGTATATATTATGATACAAGGAAAAACCCATAATTTTGAGTACTCTTTTAGGTAATGTGCTGTTTCTTGAAGCAAATAAATCAGTTGGGGGAGGTGACATCACAGAATTTCGCTCTGTGCCAATTGGTCATCTGCCTCCACCCCGAGACGTTAATTTAACCGAGGTAACGAAAAAGACCATTTTCAATCAGGAACCTGAATTATGTTGCAAGGGTGGGATTGCATTGGAATGAATAGATGCTCGTGTAGTTACTGAATCTTCATTCGAAGGTGGGCATGTTCCTTAACCTCCAGCCGAGCCAAACCGTGAGGGCGAACATTCCAGCGTGAAGACAGGCGTCGATGATGAATATGGACCCAGGGAATACCGTCACAGTCGCGGCATATACCGATGTGAAGACGATGGAGCCAAAAAGGTTGGCAAGGGTCTCAAGGACCGACATGATTGCAAAACTGGTCCCAACTTCTCCCGAGTCTGCCAGTTTCGTGATCAGCGAACGAAGTGCCGAAATTATGTATCCTGCAGGGGAACCGATCACAGCGAAGACAAAGATCAGCACCGTATTGGTTGTCAGTGCTGTGCCCAGCAGTCGGACCGTCTTCATGAATAACCCAAAGAGAATGAGACTTATATCTGAAGGTTGAAATAATTGCTCGACTATGGGAAAGATAAAAATCAGATTGAAGGCCATGGAAGCGTAGTAAGTTGCCAGATAAGCGCCATAAATTCCATCCGACCAGCCTACATCTTGGCGCACCACAAACAGTAAGAGACTGTCCTGTTCTCCGGCCTTTGTTACCTGGTTGAATAGCACGGCACCAAGCAGAATACGAATGTAGACGTGATGCCCATTGGGTCTCATCTTTGCGATATAAACCCAAGATTCTCTAAGAGATGTTCTGACGGTCTTCCAGCAGCCGCACTTCTTTCCAACCTCTCCTTTCGACTTTTGGAAATTCCCCTCGTCCACCTCCCCTATATCTTCCCCTACTCGTTTTTGATGTTTTGGATATTCTAGCATGCGCATCGATCCGTAGTCACTCGAAGGAGATTTCGATGGACTAACAGCAACACTATCCCTCACTAGTATGATGAGCAGGATCAGTATACCCAAATTGAAAGCTGTGACGAAGAGGAGGACCCATCCATAGGAAGAGAAGTAATAGAAGACTGTAACTAGCAACGAGCCAATGCAGAGTCCCACAAAATTTGTGCCCAAAAGACGACCGATAAGTTGGGTTCGCTCTGCTTCTGTACTGCAGTCGGTGATGTAGCTGTGAGCCCCCATTCCCAAGGCATTGCTCTTGCCACAAAGTCCGTAGAGCAGAGCACCAGCAAGGAGCCAGGCCATTTGGAAGGGAATGGATGGATAGCCTGGTATGAGGCTGATTCCGAAGAAGCAGCAGGCCAAACAGGCACCAACCATTGGCAGTATCATTGGGCCCTTGCGTCCATTCTGATCGGACCAGCTACCCAGAACGAGACAGACAAACATAGCGGGCAGGTTAAGGAGAACGCGGTACCCGATAATGAAGGGCGCAGCCTTTTTCTGAATCGGACGCTCTAATGCCTCGTGAGCGGTGTCAGACTCTACATAGCAGTGGCGAACGGAGTTTAGGTCCCAGCTATCGGTTTGCGTGATATAAGAGCAAACCAGGTGGTAGACCTGAAGTCGGGTTGATGTTTGTAGAAGGGTTTCAGTGATTTTATAGATTGAAAAAATACCAATTATCAAATTTGGCAGGAGCTTTTGAAGCATTTTTTGGTCTTAATGAACGACCCTTGAAGATGCAATTATTTTTGAATGCGCATCACTTACCAATCTCTACAGGCCTAAATTTTGATTGGCTGAGGGGTTGGGAGTACTTTATTGCTCCGAAAACTCGTGATGTCGCCAAGGCCTTAAACGTTCTAGCACGATTTGGAAATCGAGTCCTTGCTTTTTTCGCACACATTCCTGCTGATGGCACCAGTTCTGGTAAAGTAATTCACGGATTTGCGATTGGAATAGCAACGCCTTCCTAGCGTGCTTTTCGGTGAGAAATAACTTCTAAGGAAAAGCGGACTGCGGTTTCCGAAGAACTTTATGTTAGTCTAAGTAACTAAAAAATGATCAACTTACATTTAGTGTTTTCCAAATGAAGCACCTACTGTATCGAAGAACGACAATTCAGACACTCTTGCGTGTGCTCCAAAATAAGTATTATTTTGAAATGATTAGCCTTACTCTTGTCTCGGATGTTGCGTCGCAGACTAGTCCCTTTCTTTTGAATGAAAACACCGGCGAACAACTTAGTGCAAGAGCTTTGCACGTCTCCAGACTCCCGTGTTTGGAGCGAATGACATCCCAGAACTAATGCTGCCCGGTTTAAACATTGAGAGAGCAGTCACCGCCAAAGTGAGTAGGTGGCACAGACATAAGAAAGTCTAATAAACTGCCCTAATTTTAAATTTCACTAATTTCGTTAAATTCGATGCAACCGTTTCCAATGGCTATAAGTCCACCATCCAGAACCGAAAATCTTTCGATGGATGTAATAAACCATGAGTTTAATAAATTAGCGTTAAAAGTAACCAAACATTTTTTTCTACTTTTCATTAGATTGCATCTAATGCCATTAAATATGCTCATATTTTGCTTGTAGTGATATTCTCTCGGCACAAATATTACAGTTTGCATAAATTTTATCCTCCCATCACAACATCCAAGTAGTAAAATGAAACAAACGCAACCGCGAGTTGCACACTTTCCTCCTAGATCTCCTTTAAACACTGAGGCCACTATGGAAGAAGAATAACAAGGGACTGTTAGCACAAATCTGCCTGTGGTGAAAAATCCATCAGCTCTGCAAGCACATTTGTAAATATTTTAATTTTCCCTGTATAAATAGATTGATGCCTTTCTAATTTGCCTGCACTGTGCAATCAGTCGCCTTGACTTTCCTCTTAGCTAGTAGGCTTCACTTCTAGGTGCTTGTCTGCAAATTGTATTAGCGTTTTCTGTGTAATGTCAAGTTGGTGGGCATGGAATCCGCATCCGGTCATAATACCAGAGAAGCCCCGTGAACCAGAGTGCACGTCCATTTGGGAGACGCATGAGGCTCTGTGACATCATACATATATCTGCATGTCTGAGTTACGATACAAGTCAAATGAATATATGCTAGGCGAAATATAAGGCGACATTAAGTTTTAGGATTTCATAATCAGATATTTGGGGATGGTTTCGGATGACTTTTCACTCTACGAGCCATATTCAAATGAGTAGCTCAAGCATGATATAAACCGACTGCTTCCCAAAGGCCAGTGCACTAAGAAGTTCGCTAAAATTTGTACAAGAAAGCTTTGTCTCATCAATACATTTTCGTGCTCACCTCTCATCAAGTTGAGTGGCATCTTCAAATCAACTTATGCAGAAGCCAATTTTTGACCACGTTGGTTGAACCTCAGAATCGCGTAACAGATTTGTGGAAAGATAAATGCGCTATTAAATGTAAATACTTACTATGTACATAACTAATGCCGGGATCTTCAATGCCCATTAAAAACAAACCACAGAGAATGAAGTTACTCCTAAAAGTGCTCTTAGAAATTGGTGTCTACTTTAGTAGTACTAATGACATTTTGGGTTTCTGGGTCAGGAGCGATTTTGAGACAACCATGCAGCTTCGCTATTTAAAGTGCGCATAAAACTCATGACTTGATGAAAATGATTGGATCCCCACCTAGTCTGGCTGTTTACCCACCGTGCTTTTCGCACTCCATCTAGACCAGTTTGTTAGACTAGTCGCCTGAATGTAAATAAGGCTATGAAAAACTACCAACACACCCCAACGGTGCATTTTTTCTGAATTGCACAAGTGATCACACCCCTCCACCTCTCTCCCGGCAGCCACACCTCTCAGTCAATTGATACTTCTTTTCTGAATTGTAGGAGGGGGGGGGACAGTTCAGCCACCAACATGCGCGTTCGAAGGGAGGGGTCTTAATTAGGCTTTCAAGTCTATCTGGTCTAGACAAAACCGCACAGACATTTTCACTTGTCCCCGTAGGCTGGCGTACTTTTTCCTAAGCCGATGATACGCAAATTAATCTCACGTGAAAGATGGCAAAACAGTTATATTTCCATCAGTAAGAACAGATATAGGGCAGGGTATAGGGAAGTCCGTTGCTACTCCACCCCCTCTTTTGAAAGGCATCCCGTTTTTGCATTGGAGGAAGATCCAAAAACGATGCCTCTGTACGTCTCAAAAATAGCCTGAGTGATGGAACATTAACGCTGAAGGTTTCGCATAGTCACATCATCAAAAGGAACCCGATTTTTCCAAAAATGTATGTGCATTCAAAAAATTGGTTTCTCAATGTTGTGGCATTTTTATTCAACTCCTTGTCACGATGGAATGTAGGTCTGGTGTTCACTTATGTGCGGATAGTCTGAAAGACCAAAATTTAGGGTTATCAGATGGAAGAGCAGAAGCTAGCACTGTAGAACTGTCGCCAAATTAGTTAGCTCTTGCCTGGTACGTCAGCAGTTTGTGTAAAAACAACTCACGGGTTCGCCTCTCAAGCCTAATTTATTTTATCTGCAAAACATACTTTAGCAGTGTAAATGCGATACCAAATCACAGGAGTGCTTTTGTGATAATTCTTTAAATGCAATTCTGTGTTTTGCGTCATAACGGAAACGCCTCCTAGATTTGTTCATGATTTGATATCTTATCATGCATTTTCCGAACACTAATTGCCAATGTTAAAAGTGTTAAAATTGAGAACACAAAGACAGTGGTACACGCCTGGATCAAGATTTCCTATTAAATTATTTTACTAAATTGGTTTTACTTGGAAGACTTAAGAATGTCAGCCTGACTACAGAACCTTTGCTTGCTGAAATGTAAGAAATAATTAATGAGTGATATTTGTTCATTTTTACTGATGCGATTGCGCATACCTTTTATACTATTAGTTTTTATACTAATCCTACCGAGCATGGTAATAGCATTGTGACTCTCAAAAGCCGTAACAGCGATGTCTACAATAGCCCTTAATTCCGCCTTTTGGATATCGAAAACCGTATCCAATTTTGTGGACTCGTTTTAATTTTCAAGCTCTAAACAAGTATGTCCATATACTTGCTCGTTGCTGCTTCAAATATTGACTCCACACTCCCGTGGGACAAGTTCTATAAGTATGCGTTTATTATAAAGACATCTTGCAAAAAAATACATAAGTCAATTTTATGCCTCAGTATGTGACTAAGATTTGTTTTCGAAATATCGAGAACACAGAATGCTCATCAATATACCACCTTGCAACGCCGCGAGGATGAAGAAGACGGTTCCAGCGAAATGTTTCTGCGTGGAGACAAAGATTTCTGTAAATAGGCTGGAGCCAACGGTTGCTGAAAGGACCTCCAGAAAGCTTGTCAGAGCAAGCATAGTACCAACCTCCTCCTCTGATGTGAGTTTTGTCAAATTGGAGCGCCCGGCACAGGTCACAAAAGCTCCGAAGGAGCCAAGAAGGCCGTAGACAAAGAGGAGGGGAGTTTTTTTGGTCAAACCAGTGGCTGTAAATGTCAAAATCCTGACAGAGGCGCCAAAGATAATGCAAGTTTTATCCGAGGGATTGAAGAGCCGCTCCAACAATGGGTAAACCACCAACAACTGGAGGGACATTGCCACGTAGCTGATGCTCAAATACGCCCCATAGATCTTATCATTCCAGCCAACTCTCTCGCATGTCACGTAGAGCAGCATTGCGTCATTCTCACCCACCTTCGCCATGTGGTTGATGAAGCAACAGAGGAGGAGTATGATTATGTGTGCTCGATCACATCGATCACGCTTTCTCAACAAGAAGCAAATAATATGGGCTACTGTAAAACACATCCCTGTGAGCTCTTTCCTTCCTGGAGGAACAAACATGGCATTCTCAAAATCTCCAGTCTTTGAATAGGGCCCATTCTTCGTTGTGTGGTCTTCACCGTCTTCCACTCCCATGGTCTCAGCTCTTCTAGTTGCTGCATACGCTTTAATCATCTGCTCATTCATTATCTTATGTGGATCGTAGGTGATGGTTTCTTTGATGAAAAGGTGTATGGCCACAAAGAGGACCACAGCGGTAACGCTGACTGCCACTAGAATCCACTGAAAAGTGATGAAGAGGGAAACGAGCGCATAGCCGATGCAGTTGCCGAAGAAGCCCACACCGATGAGGCGACTAAGTAGGCGGGTGCGCCGCTCCTTGGTGCTACAGTCCGCCACGTAGCTGCTCGCACCAATCAGGAAGACGGTGCTTTTGCCGCATATGCCATAAATGAGGACTCCGACCAGGAGACACAAGGTGCCCCCAGGAATGTGGCCCACGCCCGGTATGTAAGAGAAGCTAAAAGAGACGCAAGCGAGGATTTGCCCCACTAGCGAAAGCAACAGTACTTTCTTCCTACCGTGATGATCCGACCACGAGCCGAAGAAGAGGCAGGAAATTATTGCAGGCCCATTCAGTAACACAGTGTAGCTGATAATGTAGGGCGCGGCCACGCTCTGAATGCGTCCATCGACTTCTGCACCCACTGTTTTGTTCGGCTCGTGACGACAGAGTTTGGAGTCTTTGGTAATGTAGAGGCAGGAAAGACGTAGGATATGGAGGCGGGCAGAGGTTTTGAGTAGCGCCTCAGCAATTTCATAGATGGCCATGCAGACGATGATGAGACTGGGTAGGAGGTGCTGCATTCTGTAGCACCATCCATGAACTTGCTCCATTCCTTCTTCCTTTTCTGTTTCCTCCGTCATTCCCCGTGGTGTAGTTTCATCCATGCGGCAGTGACACAAATGAACCAAATATTTCCGGATACTATTTACTCCATTGACAGTGTCATGCGATTGGAAGTGGTGAGTACTGACAGCGCACAGTCTCGAAGTAATTGGTCAGTAGGCACACACGATCAGTCAAGAAGGCGCACTCACAGATGCACTGGCAGTACTGCCACTACCGCAGCCTGTCCCTTCAGCCATCATCAAGTTGCAGTGCCTGTTCTCGTTGCCACGGTCCATGGGTTGTGCCCACATAGCTCGCGTATATACTCCTGATGGACCAGTTTGAATGATTACCGAATACCCTTATTCCAGGTTTCAGTTTAATCAGTCCAAACCGTTTTAAACAAGCCATACCTCACCACGTTCTTGAAACAAAGTTACTTTCGGGTGAAAAAGAAAAAGCCAGTGTTGTTTGCCATTTTTCGCTTATGAAAGTGTCAAAATTGCAGTAGTTCAAGTTACAGGGAGTACGTTGCTTACAGAAAATCCTGTGCATGGCTGTGTACATAGCAAAGAAAAAAATAAAAGTTGCGCAAACACATTTATTTGAGGGTGAAAATTGGTATTTTGATCCGCTGCAGAACTACTCAACAGTCTAATTTGATACCAAGACAAAAGGTACAAGGCACGATAGTCCCGAAGAAGTATACTTGGTTTCTGATGTATTACCTACTAAGCCAACGTTTGTTGATACGTAATTCGATATAACTAATAACTTTTCTAATTCTAAATTAACTCTTAAGATCAGTTTTTGCTACAAATTCGAGTAAAATTTACGTGGGTTGTGCAGGCACTTGCTGAATTTGCGGTGCAGCACCAAAATATTCAGCGTAGATGCGCTGTTACTCAAAAGCACCAGTTGGTCTACTTAGTAGCACGGGTGGGTGAAGTTTATGGGGTGTCTGTTGATACAAAAGCAATCTTCTCCAGAAAGCAAAAATATTGTAGCGATGAAAGAAATGTAGCCGCTAGAAGATCTTTGGATTGAAAAAATATGCCCTTTGACATTTTGCTTATTTGTTTGTTTAAATAAGCGGACATGGCAGTCTTCGAAATTTGTGCTACCATTCTGCAACGTCAGTTTCGAGTCATTACATTGGCCCTAGCCACTTTGCAAGTAGTCACTACTTCGTCTTACTAAGATCTTGGAGAAGACGGAGAGCGCTACAGTAACTCAATTGGATGTAAGAAATAGAGTAATCCGGGAGGCCAATGTCTAAACAAGTAGATGCAATTATGCTAAATTATAAAAAGTACCACCATTACACAGTCACAATAATGTCCTCGAACATTAAAGACGTGGGTGTTCGCACCAATCCGCTTTCAAAAGAGGCAGAACTAATACTAGGACGATAGAGTTCGGTCCCATGCAAAAAAAATTGAGTTTAAAATAGTTATTTGGCGTTTAATATTTGATTTATCAATGAAATATAGAGGTGTTAATCAGGTTCAATAGCTTCGAAAGGGACGCACTTGAGCATTCTGTAATACACTAATTGTTTAACTCATCGCTTTGTCATTGCATCTCCGTCTGGCTTACAGGTAACGCTAGTAATCTAAAGCTCTGCTGTATGCTGATTACATGTCGTAATGTGTTGGCTGTTTGTTTAACGGTCGGCTTCGGTAAAGGGTCACTTTTTCTAGGCCACTGTACCTTCACCGTAAAAGCTGGCCTCTGGACCACGCCAGTATCCCTAACACCTTCTGCATTACGAATATATATCCTGCCCAAGCATTATTGTAATACGATAGTGGTTTATCCCTCGGTTCTGGTGAGGCGCCACTTTTGTACTTCGAATTAGCCCCCTTGTACCTCGCTGGGTGGGCTGGCCTTTTGGGCCATGCCAATAGCCCAGACACCTTCTCCGTGCTGAATATATGTATTCTGCCCGAGTATTTTGTCTTCTTTCGTCTTCAGGGAGTCTTGGGACGCTATATTATGTCTTTTTTGTCTTCAGGAAACCTTCAGGGAACTGTAATTCTTTAAAATGGGCAAAAATCCAAACATGATTTCGTAGCGACTTTTACGGGAAGCAAGCCGGAGACGGATAGTGATGGATGTAGCATAGAAACGAACCACTAATAAAAGCCTGCATACGAAACCTAGACATCAAAACCAGTCTTATTTTAGCGTAAGCAAATATATCGTCGGCTGCCAAAAATTGTTGTGGAAAAAGTTTGGGCAATGAAATTTGCAACGAAAGGCTTTTTCAAATTAACAACACACGGCTTTGCTGTTGCCGAAATGCGGTACAATTTTGCATTTTCATGCATAATTTTTTATTTTTAAATGGTTTAGCATGATTTGTTGCCATCAATGGTCACAAACAAGAAATACAGAATACAAAACTGGTTGTTTTAGTTTGTACTGCAGCTTAGCCTTTGCTTAAGGTAGCTCGTGATGTCCGGACAGACTATTGCGCTTTCCCTATTCTTATTTTTAGTTGCTTTCGGAGTCGTCATTTTCCTGGGATCCTTTATATTTATTAAGCGTAGCATTGCGAGGAGAAAAAGTCGCATTGGTAGGATCGTGTACGCACCTGTTGGAAATGGCGGCCCAAAAGTTTGCAAAAGTTAGTTCTCTATTTTTTTGGTAGTTTTGGAAGGAGTTAGTAAATTCGAAGATAAACGTGACTGTTAAGATTCGGCCAGAACCCAGGGTATTTTACTCGTCGAACTCGGATAGACAGAACGACACCGCTGGAAGTGCTTCCCTTTATACATACTTATTTTTAAGGGAATCTGGGATTTCAATTTCGTGCAAACACTGTTGATCTATTTGTCGACCTGAGTACGTCATATCTGTGACTTGACTTTAGAGGAGAAAATTTTGGCATCCTATCCCCTATTTGAGGCACCTCCTGTCAGAGGCATAAAGGATTTCTTATTGAGCGCCTCTTCACAATCGATGAACCCGAAACCCGATAGTCATCTCGTTGAGACTTATTGTGAATTCTATAATCGCGCTCGGTATGACCCCGGGGTAGGTCAAACTTGTTCCCCACCATTCAATTCCTTGTCGATAAACGTAATGCCATATCTTCTAGCCGTACACCGACGTCGACTACCTCCGCTTTCTTGAAATTCATGATCAACTTTTGAAAGCGTGCGTACTTAATTCTCAAAAATTATTTCTCAAGTTTCGTTACCATAAAATGACAATCATGCTTTTAAAAGTGTGGTGGTCAAAGAGGCACTCCAGACCGCAGATTCGCCTAACAAGGCGACTAAGGCGTCACACAAACGCCGAAAAATGCCCTCAGCTTCAAGAGTGGGCCAGTCGACTTACTCGGAGCTAATCGAAATGAAAGATACGACCTCTGGGTCTAATGTCGCCGCTGAAACCAATTCCTCCTCTGGTGCGATGGGCCTTCTCCGTGCTCCACTCAGTCGAAGCGGTAGTGCCGCTAGCGACGACTCGCAGACAGCTCTCATTCGCCTCGACGACGGTCGAAACACCTCAAGTCACCTGCGTCAGTGAGTACAATCGGCAGTCAAAAGCCCCCTGTCCGGAATATTCTATGTTGCACTATAGTTCACGTATATTTATGTGAAAAGCCTTTATTAGTAGCTTTGACCACGGTCCTTTCTTCCTTATATTTAAACACTTCATAAAGACAAGCGACAATAAGAGTTCTACACTAAAACGAAGTGGTTGATGACGTCGAATTAAGCCATGTTACTCGGGTACAGAATAGTCAAAGTGGAAGGCAAGGGCTAGGTTCCGTAACTTTGTTAGAACGCTTAGCTCTTCGCCAGGCCAACATCCAAGGAGGTGTTCAATGCACTCGATCTCTCTTAAAAGTTGTGACAATCTCGCTCCACACATCGTACTAGCCGATTTGAGGAACCAATGGAGGGACGCCTTGGCCAGGTTGCCAGCCTTTTTACCAGACTTCAAGGGGACGGCAGATCCATTAGTACCGGAGCTAGGGTCAACCCTGTTTCCCGAGAAGAAGTCAAATACCCGTTTCTCGTGGTCCCCAATGAAGTCCATCACTAGGGGTGGAAATATGTTTGAAGACGAGGCCTTCTCTAAATCTGTGGGGAAGTCAGCCCCGCTGATAGGGTTGTACGAATCAAAATTCTCCAGGACATGCAGCCACGCCTAATGGGCAATATAGATAGTTTAGAAGACGTGATTTATGCAGAAAGGAGTCGGCCTACCGTGTAGATATCGTCCGGTTTCGAGGTGAACGGGTGTATCTTATTCAATAGTTCCGAGGCTGGTATATTCCTCTGTCGAATAAATCGATGAGCGCGTACAAGAGCATCGCAGTTCTGATCGACCCACTTGTCGTTTACCGCCTGATTAGTGGCTCTCCGGAAAATTGTGTGATTTATGGTGTGGACGCACGACTTGCAGGGAATTGACTGGACTTTCGCATCCTGTCGAGACGTTCCAGCATTATCACCATTAGTTGCAAAACAGGAGTGGCCAATCAACTGCGTGAGACAATCGGTCAAGCTGAGTTTTGTTTCTTTCTTGAAAATTCAAAAAGAAGAAAGTTTAAAACCTGGAACTTAAACACGCACATCAGCCTAGTCAAAATGGTAATGTCTACCAACTTGCCAAATTATAATGCCTGGGGCAATCGTAATTTTCGCCCCATCCTTCGTCGACTTGAGGATTGAAAGAGGAGGCGGCACCTAAAAACTCCTTAGTGCTCCTTGCCGTTCGCACCAATTGGGAGTGGGTCAGCACTGTATTGAGGGGCGCGCTGCCAGTGCGGAAGCGCGAACGCGGTCTGCGAAGGCTCGGGGAGTCGCTAGGAAGCCCGCACATCCAACTAGACCAATCAAAGTGCACAGTAAGACCTCTCGTCTCTGCTTTTGCATCCTCATCATTGAGCACCTCCTTGAGAAGTGCAGCCTTTTCCGGATGCTGGGTGAGAAAACGCGCCACTTTGCTCCAGCGATGCTACGAAATTCAAAGTCCAGAAAGGCAAATATAATTACGACTGTCCGTAAGCTTGTTCACCACTAACTCAAACTAGAGCACAAGAGGTAATTTAGGATTATCGCAATGAGCGACGTCTGTACAAGCGTTGTCTTCCAGCCCCGGACACTTCAAGGTTTGATGCTTCAATTGGACCCAGAATAGTTAAGATTGGTTTACTCCTTATTATTTTGGAGTGGAACTGGCTTAAAGAGGGTAAATGCACTTTTTTCGTATTCAATCACAGCAGTCATCGTACACTACTTAAAGCATTTATTTTTGGAATCACTTTTGAAAAGAGGAAGCAAATTTCCCCCCCCCCAGCATACCTCAAAGTCACCATCCAACTTGAAGAGCAGACGTCCAGTTATGGCAACTATGGCCATGGCAAAAACTTCCCCACGGAGGTAGCGATGAAGAGGAAGGAAGTAGTGCATTCCCACCCTTTTCTCACCAACATTGTCCTTCACACACCGAGCCAACTTTGCAACCAGAGAATCTGCCATTTGGTGCGCCTCAGGAGGGAAAGACATTTGTCGCAGCAAACGATGCACAAGTGAGCACAATGGAAGTCTAAATGTCAAAGAGGGAGCTGGTGGGTAACCTCACGCGGCTGAATACTCTATACTATCCGCATAAGATGCCTACCTCGGTCGTTCGGTGATGCCGAGCATATTGATTAGATGAATAATGACGCGAGTGAGAATGAGGGGGTCCGGAATTAGGGGTCTTTTAAAGATTCCTGGCATACTGGTATTGAACGAAGCAAAGTGGTTTGACACCCACCGATCTGCCTACAAATCGTATTTTAAGGAGAATAACATTCAACTCGTGTAAAAGCACTCAGGATGTACAATAGAGAAATGATCACATACCAGTAAATAGGGGAATTTATCCCTGTCTTGACAGAGACACGATAGATCATGCAAAGTGAAGAAGTCATGCTGACAGATTGCGACCTTCCTCGTGTTTACAGCAGTCAAGGTGAGGAAGGCTGCGAGGAATAGAACACCCAGGTTGTATTCGAGCAACCAATTCGTCCTGTGTTTACCCAACTTTCCATGCCAAAACATATCTTTCTTAGGTTGCCTTTTTATCCTATAAAAACAATCAATCAAAGGGTATTTAAATGCAACATCCGCTCCCTATCAGATTAGAGGAGATCCCAATTACAGGTTTTCCACGAGCATCTGCTTCCACATTTCCAAGAGGCTTTGCACATTGCTCGACAGTCCGGCTTGCTCCTCCGGAAGATGCTGTGCTGACAGCGACTGCGGTGACGGAACCAGCCGTCTTGGACGTTTTTGGGGCGGCGTCTCATCCACGGACTCCGAATCACTCGAACCCAATGTTATAGAGGATTCACAGTCATCATCGTCTGCGCAACTCACCGAAGACTGATTTTCATGATCACAACTTTAAAAGAGAATAAAAAGTCTGTTGAAATAGCTTCCTTCCTCGCCCTTGATCTACTCAATAGGAAATTTATGCATGAGGCTATGCAATAGGATCAGCAGTTCAATTACATTACTGGAACAGTGTCTCATTAACTCAACAGTAGGCCCTAATATATAGGCTGGACAATTGGATTGTTACATTACGCTAGTAAATGTGATGAACTGATGTAAATTGCAACAAGGACTAACTTCGTTTCGAAGAGAAAGAAAGGGTTATTGGCGCTTTCGGTTTCGTTCGGACAGTAGAGAGAGCCCCATCCGATCCAACAGAATCCGAAGCCTAATTTGGACTCGAGGAAACGTGTTAACCAACGGCTGTCCTTTTCACCCTTCCTACCCACGCGAGGAAGCGCCTGATTATATGCACTCCTCCCCTCAGCATTGCAGTGCCGCAAGTAGTTTTTTCGGGACTCAAAAATCGACTCCAAGGCTTTCAGCGTTCGACGGAACGACAAGGCCCACATATCTCCACCCAACTCACCCGTGGCACCCAAGTAGTTAGTCCACAGGGTGTTAGCAATCGAGTTAAATCGATCAACAACGCCCGGAAATGAAGTCGGTTCGGGTGTCAGATAGGCACGCGTAAAAACCGTCATTTGGTGATGGAGTAAAAGCTTTAATAAAATGGAAAAAAAGATAATAAGTTGAAAAAACGATATCCTGACTTAATTCTTATGTTAGCATGGCATGAATTGTGCCAAGAATTGAGTGATATATCATGGACATTAAAAGTGGGCGCCAATACATGAGTAAATGACATCATGCGATAAAACCACTTTTTAAGGTGGAGAAGTTGAGCTTTTGATTAAACCATCGACTTTAGGGCCAATTAGAGGCAAAAGCTTTCCTGTCAGTAAAAACCCTCACTAGACTAAAGTTTAGATTTTCTGAAGGGAGTAATAGCGATATTCTTTATTCCGACCTTCAAAGAAAATGAAAAACAGGTTTATTCTCACAGTAAACGCTTCACTCATACGCCAACTGCGCAAGCGACTTCGCTTCTTATGCGTCTCTTTGGGGGCTCCTTTAGTAGACATCACTGTTGCTGCATGATCAGCAGTGTCACCTTCACGTTCCTTGCGTCGGCGTTTCGTGATAGGTGAGGCTGGTACAAAGTCATCAAACGCTTGAGAAGCATCTTTGATCTGCCCTTCTGAAGGGACAGAACAGTACATGAGATCATCCCTTTGTGGAACACTACTCGACGTATTGACAGCCCGAAGACCGTACGCAGTCTCCCCAAATTTGTGATCCTATTTAGCAAAATATCACGGTAAAGGTTATCAGAAGAGACTAGCGGATCCAAACTATTGCAATCGCACATCTACATAGCCAGATTTAAGGGGGGATGAGGGGGATGAAACTTAAAAACGATCAATTTGGCGAAGTGATCATAGCCCATTCTGCTCCGGGGATGCCGCTAATAAGTTACTGACGTGCTCACCAATAGAGGAGATAGCGTAGTTCACCTACTTTACTAAGTCGCAAGTACAAATGAATCAAGTCAAAAAGGATCAGATAAAGTTGACTGCATACTTATATCAAATATAAGTCCCACTTCATAACATACGTGAGTGATTCCCCTTAAAGAGTCCGAGACCTGCCAACAAGATGTGCAGATATAACGTCCCGAAACTTCGTCGACGGAAAAACTACTACTCCCACAGCCAGAGCATCTCAACGCACCGGATGACATCTAAGAAATGCACGCAAAGACAAGCGCTTCAAACGGTCACAAATGTCAAGTTTTGATCACAAACGCCGGCATGAAATTTGCTAAAACAGTTTCGTACATGTGTTGATCGTCGAAAGCAGAGCTGCAAAAAATGATGTACTAAATGTTCTGCAAAAATGCACTTGCATGGTAAGGCATTAAGCACTAAAATGACTCAGGGCAAAGCCATTTGAACACAAGTACCCATACTTGTAAATTCCAACTAAAAAAAAGTAAAAAAACACAATTTCTAAGAACGACTTTAAAAAGTAGTAGGCTTATGTGATGCCATGTGACCGTAAACCAAAATAAACGTCTGTACAAAAGTGTGCGAGCTAAGCAAAAGGCTGACCAATCAATCGAGAGAGCCGAACAATCGTTTTACTGTTTTGTGTTCCATGTACTGCACTTCATATGTGATAGTTGCCACTTTTGCACCTTTGTGTATGCCTTTGAATATTGTAGGGTTTTGCTAGAAATTGTTTTGAAGAAGCAAATCGCCTTATAAGCTGTTAAAATGACTCCACATTTACTGAAGGGGCGTGCATAATATAGTATCGTGCAAAAAACGAAATACCGGTACATGTAAAATTTTTAGAGGGAACTATAAGATGTTACAAAGGGGAAAGAAACACAGCAGACAAACAACGGAACTGGGATACTGTCGCGAAAGAGAGAACAAAATGGCTCGTGTCCCACAGTAACTGCAATTAGTGTTCATTAAAACAATTTCAGTCAGACTGCAGTCTAGGAATGCCAAAACTAGTAAGGACAAAGGGGTGTCATCCTCCGTGGAAATGTTTACTCTGAGCAGGCGTAGAGCTGATCACAGCATTGCATTTATAATACTTTCCATATTTTTTTGGGGGTTTTTTACTGCAGCGTCCCAAGCCTCCCTAAAGACGAAAGAAGACACAATACTCGGGCAGAATATATATTCAGTGCAGAGAAGGTGTCTGGGCAATTGGCGCGGTCCGGAAGGATAGGGCACCCAGTGAGGCACAAGAGGGCTAATTTAAAATGCAAAAGTAGTGTAA